TAAGAGCATTATTATCCTATTACTCCTGATGTGAGTCCACTATTAGTGCATGTGTACTTGTGCCTGCAGGTCTAATATATTTGATACAATAAAAACAAATAAAATGAAAAAAATTTAAGTAAAAAATTGAAGAGAACTATATCATTTTTCTCCAATTTCATCAATTCATAGCTAGGACAAATCCCTGCAGTACAATAGAGACTAACAAGAGAAGAACAAGCAAGATTAGCAATGCGTGCAGTGTACACCATTTGGGGGAAAAGCAGCTATCCGAAGGCAGTGGCTCAAAACTCTAAAACTATTTTAGGGGCCAGCCCAGGGGTGTAGCAAGCTAAGCCTCTGCCTGGGGTGCTGGTTTATGTCCTGGCTGCTCCATTTCCCATTCAGTTCCTTGCTTATGGCCTGGGAAAGCAGCAGAGGATGGCCCAAAGCCTTGGTACCCTACACTCACGTGGGAGACCTGAAAGAGGCTCATGGTTCCTGGCTTCAGAATGGCCCAGTTTCAGCTGTTGCAACCATTTGGGGAATGAACCAGCAGGTGGAAGACCTCTCTATCTCTCCTTCTCTCTTCTTCACTCTGCCTTTCCAACAGTAAAGAAAAGAAGAAAGAAAAGGAAAGGACGGGAGGGAGGGAAGGAAGAAGGAATCTTTAGGGAAAAAAAGATTGTATTTTAACAAAAAGAATCAACATTAGGGCTGTGGTAAGACAAAGGGAACAGTCCCATGGTTACAGGTAAGAAAACGAAGCTCTGGGGAGACAAAGCTGCCCCAGCAGGAGGATCTACGTTCTCTGTAGGAGGAAAACAGCACAAGCAGGGCACAAAGAACTTCCGTCTTAGCAATTCACTCAGAGGCAAGGCAGTCTCCCTGTAATTTAATTGTCTTTAGCACAATCCTCAATCTTTGAGGGCAAAATATTTTTTTGTTTCGAAAAACATACATGGATTTTTTTTGTTACATTTTATTCTAGTTCTCCAGCGTGACATTTTATGTCCAAATACACCACCGATTTTATTGATCAATGATCGAACTAACTTTCCTTCTACTTTCCGTGAGCTTGCGCGGTAACACTGTACTTCAACAGTGTGTTAAACATACTGAAAATCAAGCCTTCCACAAATATCATGGAAGGAAAATCCGGGTCACTCCTTATGTGATCCTACAATTATTGAAATACAGTTCACTGCTTAAACAAACTTGGTAACTTTTTCTTCTACTAAGTGACAGAGAATTGAAACCAGAGCAAAAATAAAATCATAAGAGATCATCTAGCATTACATGCTTTGTTTTATAAATTTTTTGAAAGATTTGGGCCCAACGCGGTAGCCTAGTGGCTAAAGTCCTCTCCTTACAAGCGTCAGTATCCTATATGGATGCCAGTTCATGTCCTGGCTGCTCCACTTCCCATCCAGCTCCCTACCTGTGACTGGGAAAGCAGTGAAGGATGGCGCAAAGCCTTGGGTACCTGCAGCCACGTGGGAGACCAAGGGGATGTTCAAGGCTTCTGGCTCCTGGTTTCAGATTGGCTCAGCTCCAGTCACTGAAGCCACACGGGGCATGAACCAGCAGTTGGAAGATCCTTCTCACTGACTCTCCTTCTCTCTATAATTCTGACTTTCCAAAAAAAAAATTAATAAATACTTCCATTATGAGAGGCCAGCATGGAAGTTAAACAGGCTAATCCTCCACCTACATCCTCGACTGTCTTCCCAGGCCACAAGCAGGGAGCTGGACGGGAAGTGGGGCTGCTGGGATTAGAACCGGCAATCATATGAGATCCTGGCGTGTTCAAGGCGAGGACTTTAGCTGCTAGACTATCACACCAGACCCAGATATCTGCTTGAAATCTTATTACTACCTTCCTTCTGCTTCCGTTCAGTTTAATTTGTTCTTTTTCTATTTTTTTACAAGATTAAATCGTTGATTTTTCTTCTCTAATATAAACATTCACTGTACAAATTTCCTTTGTAACCACTGCTTTTGCTGTATTCCAACTTTTCTGATGCTGTATTTTCATTAGCTTCAAAAAATATTCTAAGCTCCTACAGATCATTTAGAAGGCTTTGTTTAATTTGCAAATATTTGCTACTGTTATTGACTCATAGTTAATTCACTTATGGTCAAACTTCATACCATTTCAAACTTCTAAACTATTCTCTTAATGAAGTTCCCATATACACTGGAAAGGAACACATTGTGCTGGCATGGAGTGGAATTTCCCATAAATGTCAATCAGATCAAGTTTTCTGACCGCGTCCTTTAGGTCTTCTATAGCCTCACTCGTTCTGTCAATTCCTAAGAGACAAGGGTGAAATCTGCATGCATGTAGGCGTGCTTTCATAAAAACTACATATGTGGATTTAAATACATATTTATATAATGCCACAATTTATTAACATCACAAGTAAAATTAAGTATAAATTACACCTTAATCTTCTTTGCTATAATATAAAAGCAGTTCATGTTCAACACTGACCAATTAAAAATTCTACAAAATGCCAATCCATCACCCAAGGTGGCTGTGTCCCTTACCCTTATCTGAATGAAGAGGTTGCTGGAAGGTGTCAAAGCATCAGGTGGGGTCCTGGTCGTCTCTGCCATCTCAGGCCCGCGGCTGGCAAGAGCAGCTTCCCGCCCAGAGCCCAGAGGCCATCACACACGACCTCGCACAGTTCTGCCACGACACTGAGCTAGAATCTTCTATTTCCTGGTTCTCCAATTCTGTCTGAGTCTCTAAAGCCTTTTCTAAAATCAAGTATCTTTAAAATTCTTTTTCTTCCCACAGATGCCAGCGTACCATGACTACAGTTTCTACATAAGACATTCTGCCACCTAAAATTACAGTTTATTACTCAAATAAGCAGTGTTTGGGGACTACAGGCTAAAACTAGGGCTAAAGGCAAAGAGCAAAAATCAAGTTCATGGTAGCCAGCATTTAGCCCAGTGGTTAAATGCTGATACTCTTGCATCACAGTACCCAAGTTTTAACCCACCTCCAGACTCCACTTTAACACCACCAGAGAAAGGAGGGAGGCAGTGGTGACGCCTCCAATAGCAGGCTCCCGTCTTCCGACATGGGAGGCCTGAGCCGAGTCCCATGCCCCGGGAGTCAGCCCAGTCCAACCCCAGACATGCTAGGCAGGCAGAGAATGACTCAATCAATCAGGGTCTCTCTCACCTTGTCTGTCTCTTTCTCACACACACACACACACACACACACACACACACAACTTAAAAACACACACTGTTCTTTGAACTAAAATGAAAATACTAAATTAAGTTTAGCAGCAATAGATATAAGAGAAAAGCATTCTCTTCAGTTCACACATCCAGCCAGCAGTCACTGACGCCTGCTGTCTCCCAGGTCCTGGCAATTCCTGTAGGAACTGGGAGATGCCCACACATGACAGATGCCTAAAATGTGACATTCAAGGGTGAAAACTGAGATGGGGAACCACAAAGCACAATAGGCGAGCTCGGAGGACCATGGGCAGCGTCCATACTTCCACACTTAGGGAAGTCCTCACTCGAAGGTGACCAAAGAATAGAAGTATCTAGAGGAGGAACAGCAAATACTCCCCGAGGCAAGAGTCTAAGGAACTGCAAGCAGGCCTACGGTTGAGCATTTGAACATCGGAACAAACCCAAACAGAGGATGCTCTTTTAAGACATTTTAACATGAAGCCACTTACCCAAAGTAAAGTACCAAAGCTTAAAAGTTCACCGTATTCCTTTTAAGTAAGGCAATTAGACTAGGAAAATTCTGACATTTGCTAAAGGAAATAGTTTTCAAAAACCTTTTCAAAACCAATATTTACTGGTCACCAAAAAAATCCACTCCACACGGTGTTATAGAAGTGTATAATATATCCTACACTTACCTCTAAACAAAAAAGAAAAAGCAAAACAAACAAGCAAACGAAAAACAAAATAAGAGACATCAGGTAGATATTTTTTCAGCTGGCAAGGACCCTTCCTCACAGAGGCACGAACCACCTAAGCATTACCCAAGATGAACTTTACAACACTTAATCCAATATGAATTAAAAACACGTGAGAACAGGTAGAACGCTTCACCTGCCCAAGTTTCCCTCTTGACTCCTCTCCTGGCTTTACACATCTCAAAGGCTGTTTCACAGCTTTTACCCGGGATTCTTCATGCTGCAAAGATCAAGGTTTTACTCTCCTAAAAACAAATATAAAAATCCTAAAATCATCATCAAATTTTATCTCGGCTTAAGGAGCTTTCTTCTGTTGACATGGAGCCTGGCTACAATGGAGAGGCCTGACAGTGCTGACTGCTGCGAAGCTGCGGAATGGGAAACGCGGGCAGCAGCAGGGACGCAGCTGAAAGCTCTCGGGCCTCTTGCTCTGCACACCGTGATTCTTGCGCCGTCTGTTCTCCGAGCCCTCCCCACCGCTAGCACGACCACCTGTGTCAGACTTCCCGCTCGCAGTGCCTTCCACCAAAAGCCAAGCCAAGAGGGTCTTTTGAGGGTCTTCTTATGGCAATTTGATCACTACAATACAAAACTTCCTTTAACGGCTGACCTCTGGCCATTTGAGGCAAACCAAATAGCACAGTCTCTCAACCTCAGAATACTTAGGAAACGAAGGACGGCAATAAACCAAAAGCTGCTCAGAAACAGACCTGGGTAATTCCATGGAGTTTAAGGGCAGAACACTGGTCTCAATGTGATACATGTAGCATAACACAGACAAAGAGCAGGGACAAAGAAGGAGAGGAGCCAGTTAGGAACTTTTCAAAACAACATTTCAACCGGCCCAGGTTCAAATCATGAAAAAGGATAAAATCATCCCCATAGTTCAGGTGATTTAGGAAGATGGTTTCACTGGAGACAACAATTAAATCACGGCCTTAAAATATATATATATATATGTTTTACATTTTCCTCTAATTTTATTAATGTCATATGTCCGTGAATTTAGCATAAAAGCAAATTATAAAGAAAAAAAAACAGAGAAAGCGAACAACTTACTGGGATTGAAAACTCCTCAGCCAAGTACTTCAGTAGGCACGCTTCTTTGGCCAAGAACTTGCTTCTTTCTTTCATATTGCCTTGCAGCTGAGTATCAAACTCCTTTCTGACCACTGAAGCAACAGAGTCGATAATCACAAGCTTAACTCCTTTTGAAATAATTTCTTCTTCCAGAGTTTCGATCCTATAAAAGCAGAATTTAAAAAAAAAAAAAAGTAATAATACATAAGATGTAAGAAACCATGAAAACAGCGGAGCATTACGAAGGTGACTGCCTTCCAAACAATAACAAAATGCTCCCCCGGAAGTCACGGTAATGATCGACAAAACTTGAGAACACACAACTCAGCTCCAGCTCCTCTCCATGCGCCGCACTCTCACAGGAACAGAGCACGATGTGTCCTTGTTTCAGGATTCCGTGGTTGGCCAACACTTCTCAAGCTCCAATTTTACAGCAAAACTCCCTGTGGAAGCTAGTTTCCAAGGGGTTCCCATTTCCTCCAATCACCTGTTTGCTGGCCCAGGTTCTTGTCAAGTCTCTTCCCACCTGTAGCAGAACTGCTACCTGTAGCACATGACCTCGGGATCGTACACCATTTCAGAGAGTAGGCCACACAGGACTGCAGCTTTCACCCTGGCTTCTCATTCCTTACCTTCTCTCTCTCTCTCTCTCTCTTTCTCTCTCTCTCTCTCAGACCACACTCTCTAGGGGAAGCAAGTTGCCATGCCATGATTCTGTGGGATGGTGAAGAACAGATACTTCCGGCCAACAGCCAGCAACAAACTCAGGCCTACCAACAACTACAGGAGTGAGCTCGGAAATAAATACTCCAGTCCCAGGACTGGCGTTGTAGCACAGCACAGACATCTTGTTGGGATACCAGCTCATGTCCAGTTGCTCTCCTTCCAAACCAGCTCCCTGTGTCTAAGTCCCTGGACCCACACCACCCATGTGGGAGATCTGGATGGCTCCTGGCCTCGGTGGGCATTTCAAAAGTAAACCAGTGGTTGGGTCTACGGCCATACCACCCTGAATGTACCTGATCTCATCTGATCTCAGAGGCTGAGCAGGGTTGGGCCTGGTTAGTATTTGGATGGGGGATCAGTGCTTAGAAGACCTCTCTCCCTCTGCCTCTGTAACTCTAGCTTTCAAAGAAATAAAAATGGGAAATACTCCAGTCCTATTCCAGCCTTGAGATGACCAGATCCTTGGCCTCTAGCTTGACTATACAATCTCCTGGATTTGGATGAGAAAAGTTCAGCTCAGCTGAAAATGTGTAAAATATTAGATGTATGCTGCTTTAGGCTGCTCAACATTGAGGTAATAAATATACCACTTCAATAATTAATCAAATTAAAATCTTTTTTCCATTAATTCTTTTTTTTCATTTTTAACGGAATATTTCAATCAAAAGGCTATAGTAAGTTAAGAATACAGAAATGCTTATTTCCTTAATAGCAATATATCAGAGCATTTTTTTTAACTCAGGAGCTAGAAGCATGAAAAACAAAAACAAATCTTCAAAGCACTTTTTTGCTAAAACGTCAAAATCTGAAACAGCATACCTTTGCATAACTTCATCACAGCTGAGTTCCCGGTAAAGATGAACTTTACTGCTTGTCAAGAGTAATTTTTCTTCGGAGTTAAAATATCCGGGAAAGCGGGATTCTGCTATCTCAATCAGCCTAGGAGAGGGAGGGATCACACACAGATGCAAACAGTCAAGGATACTTGAGGCCACACTGCTTGAGTTCTAGTGAATTCCACCTGGGAAACACTGCAGCCTCGGGCCAGAGCAGGCGTAGGCTCAAGGGCTCAAGCGACACGTTCTGCACACAGGTGCCCCTTCTTTAGCACCAGCCGCCAGTAACCCTGGGAACGCAGGATGAGCAAGCTCTGTGGGGTCTCACCTCGGGCAAACAACAGTGTCTCCCGGACTTACCTTTCTGGGAATAAATATGATTTTTATAAAGGATCTTTGGATTAGATACACCTAGTAAATAAGAAAAACACTTCCATCTTCTGGAACAAAAAGTCTATTTAAACAAATAGCATTCTAATAATCAGATATCTGTAAGTCTCTTTGACTCAGTCCAGAAAAATTCCTTCTCAATGAAAAACTGAATTCATACAAATAAATGCTATTCAAGAGTTCATTGGGTAATAGGAAATTATCTAAGCAGATGAATGCTTATTATTTCTTACAAGCAATAGAGGTCTTCTAAATGGTGAATTCTCTGACCTCAAGGCTAGATCTCAATTTTTGTCGTTGTTTGAAAGTGAGACACAGACCCGCACACACAGGCACTGGTCCCATCTGCTGGTTTACTCCCCGAATACCCACGATTGCCAGAAATGGGAACCAGGAACGCACTCCAGGTCTGCCACGTGAGCAGCTGGAATCCAGTTACATGAGCCGTCACCACTGCCTCCCCGCGTCTGTGCTGGCAGGAAGCTGGAGCAGAGAATTAAGCCAGGCACTCTGATGTGGCGCGCAGGCACGCTGGCCACTGGGGCCAAACCGAGATCTAACACAAGGCTACTTCAAAAGATTCATGGAAAAATGCAATTAAAGGACAAGTTTATTTTGGTATAAAAAATTTTGTAATCCAAGCCTGGTTTCTTCATAATTCATATTTTTTTAAGACTCCTGACCACATGGATTTCAAAATTTCAATTTTATTTTCCACAAGCTTTCTGAAACACCCTCGAGTGTGGGTGGACAAACACACGCAGGGAGTAACAGCCAAAACAAAGGCATCGGCATTATTAGAAATTTGAAATATTTCTAGTTACAAAAAAAATTTTTTTTGAGTTTATACTGTTTATCTATCCTAGCACTTAACCATCCTGAGGACACTGGGAGGAGAAAGTGTAAACACTAAAGCCATCCTATATTTTATGTTCTTTTTAGACACAGAAGCGCAAAAGAACAGTGCTTGCACGCCTACACACAGGTCTGACGTTAACGCCTTTAAAGAGATAAACAAGGTAAGTTAAAGACCTAAAACAGAAAAAGTAGATAAATAGTCACTAGCTTTTTAAAAGCATATTTTGCCTAATGTGGAAAACATGAGAGGGCGGACAGGAAAAGGAACAAGAAACAACAGCCCATCATGTAAAAAGTAAAATGAACGCGGATCCGATGGGGGCGGGACAAGTTCTTGAGTGAGGAAACAGACCGAGACAAAGGAAAACAGGGCAGTGAGAGGAGCAGGAGGAGACGTGCTGGCACGAGGCAGCACGGGCAAACTTGGACGATTTGACGGAAACGCAGACATTTTCTAATTAGCACAACTATTCCGTGTGTTTGGTGCCACTCAAAGAACTGAGCTCAAGGAAGGCCTAGCACCCAGCACCCAGCACCTACGACGTTTTCGTAAGACAGATACAACAGCACCAACCAGAAACCACCATGGGGGTTGTTCAACATTTGGATGCCCTGTTGATTAGGAACAAAATTAACAATAGCTAAGTCACTGGCAATAACTACAGGAATGACAAAAATGATAATAATAATAATATGATGATGATGATGATGATTTTCTGCCCTGGGATGCTAGGCTAGGTTTCAGCGGGAAGGGGCCCTGGAAACCCCTGCTGCTGTCTCGTTCCAGGAGGGTCTCCCAGAAGCAACGGCGGCCACTGACTACCTGCCCTCACACTGACCATACTAAACAACTATCGGATGGTAATTTACATCAAAACGTTGTAATTCTCTGAGGAACTCCAAATGGGTTTTGTATCTGAAAAAATAGAAATGAAAACCATGTAAAGTATAGTATCCTGTATGCTTCATATTAATCATAGTAATTTCTATGACAATCTTCACCATCAAGATCTTTTTTTTTTTTTTTTTTGCGTGGGGGGGAGACGTTGGCAGCAGAAAGCATCAGAGTTCTTTTATGCCAGACAATAACCACATAAAGTTTGAAAGCAGTGCCATCTAGTGGGCATATTTTAGAAAGGTATTCCTTTCAAAGTATGTACCACACACTCATTCTGCCAACAATTTAATTTAAAAAGAAAAGGTGGAGGGGGGCTTACCTATTTATTTTAAAGGGAAGAGTGATTGAGATAAGGGCAGAGAGAGAAAGAGAGATCGTCTATTCACTGGTTCATTCAACAAATGTCCTGAACAGCTTGGGCTGGCTAGGCCAAAGCTACTCAAGTTTCCCACATGGGTAGTGACGGCTCCAAGTGCCTGGGTCATCATCTGCTGCTTCCCAGGATGCATTAAGAACGTGCAGAGGGGGTCTGGCATGATGGCTCAAAGGTTAAATCTTTACCTTGCAAGCACCAGCATGCCAAAAGGACTCTGGCTCATGTCCCAGCTGCTCCACTTCCCATCTGGTTCCTGCTCGGTGGCCTAGAAAAGCACTAAAAGATGCCCCAAAGCCTTGGGACCCTCTACCCACATGGGAGACCCAGAGCTCCTGGCTCCTGGCTTCAGATCAGCTCAGCTCTGGCTGTTGCAGCTGTTTGGGGAGTGAACCACCAGATCGAAGATCTTTCTGTCTCTTGTTTCTGTAATCTCATCTTCCTTTGCAATAAAAATAAGTCTTAAAAGAAGAAGAAGAAGCTGGAGAAGAAATAGAACAGCTGGGTAATGAGCCTGCGCCTTATAGTAGTAGTACAATGAGTATTCCTTGGGGACATGTTGCCACAATCCATTCTAGGTGCTAAGGATAAGGTAATAAACAATCACCCCAAAGAAAAAGGAAAACCCTTCCCTTGCGGACCTCACATTCTGTGACCGGAGGCAAACATGTTACATGCCAGGTAAGACATGCTCCAAGGAAAAGTGAAATAGACTGGGGGAACAGAAAGCGACAGGAAGGGACAAGTGATCATGTCCCAAGGATGGGCTGGCCAAATCTCAGTAACAAAGCTTAAAGATGAAAAAATGAACCATGTGGAAAGGCACATGCGTGAAAACCCCAGACGTGGGAAGGTTAGCATAAGTGATCAAGTAGCAGGAACACGGAAGCAAGGAAGAGAAACTAGGAAATAAAATCATAGAGCCAGCCAGGGGCCAAGATTATAGCAGATCTTCAGGTCTATGGTATTTTGTTTAAGTTTCCTTTATTTGTGTATTCATTTATGTATTTTTGGAGGGACACAGAGACAGAGAGGCAAGGAGGGATGGGAAGACAGTCAGGTCCCCCAACAGTCAGGTCTGGCCCAGGCTGAAACAAAGCGCCAGAAACTCAGTCTAGGTCTTCCACTTGGGTGGCATAGATTCAACCACTTGAGCCATCCCTGCTGACACTCGGGTATACATCAGCAAGAAGCTGGAGTCAGCAGCAGAGGCAGGCCTCAACTTCAAGTGCATTCCAAGCTGGGTCTTAATGCCACTACCAATCACCAGCCTCCGCTTAAACAGAACAACTTCTTTTCTAAAGGATCATTCTAGTTGCCAGAGAAAAGGTGACAGATAAAGCAAGAGTGAAAGCTAGTCCAGATATGATGGTGACTAGGAAGTAACAGCTTAGGAGATGAAACATAAGCTCAATTCAAGGTATCACTCAGGACCCTTATTCGGGTGCTGCTGCCTGGGGTGCATTGCCATCAACTACCGGTGTTGTTAGTTCAACTTCTGACTGCTCTGCTTCCAACCCAGTGCCCTGCTAATGCACACAGGAAAGCACCAAAAGGTGATTCCAGCGCATGGAACCCTACCATCCCTGTGGGAGATGGAGTTCCAGGTTCCTGACTTTGTCTTAGCCCAGCCCCAGCCATTATAGCCACTGCGACTGAGCCAGTGGAAAGAAGCTTTACTCTGCCTTTCAGATAAATAAAATAAATCTTTAGAATTAAATTTTAAAAGGATGGACCGGCATTATGACACAGCACATTACACCGCTGCCTGCAAGACCAACATCCCAAATAACACCAGTTGGAGTCCTGGATGCTCCTGATCCAGCTCACTGCGAATGTGCCTGGAAAAGCAATGGAAGATGGTCCGAGTGCTTCAGCCTCTGCTATTGTGACCATCTGAGGGAAATGAATAACTCAACAGAAGATTCTCTCTCCCTATCTCTCTCTCTCTCTCAACTCTGTGTGTGTGTGTGTGTTTCCCTCTTTCAGTAACTCTGTTTTTCAAATCAACCAATCTTTAAAAAAGAGAGAGAGAGAGAGAGAGAGAGAGAGAGAGAGAGAGAGAGAGAGAGAGAGAGAGAAAGCAGCAGTTCCAAAGAGGGGCTGACAAGAGCTATGGACTATTCGGATGAGTATATGATGGTACTGTCACTTATTGAAGTGGAGAAGAGACTGGATTCAGATCAGGAGTTTGATTATTAATGTTGCTTGTGTGTTCTTATCATTGTCGCCTTCAAAGGAACCCAAAACGCAGTTGTGGACTTATCAAGACATTCACGTATACAAACCTGACAATTTCCTGCTCAGTGGACAAATGGGTAAGAACCAGGTCACAGGAAAGGTCACACTTCAGATAACAACCCATCAGCTTAAAGAAAGCTGTTGAAGATCATTGGACTAGATGATATCAGGGATTGACTACAAATGTAAGAGGAGAAAGGTCCCAGGAGTGAGTTCCAGGGTCCTCCAGGGCTTAACAGTTGAAAAGAGAAGGATCCAGCAAAGGAATCTGAGTGGAGGGCTCCAGGGAAGCAGATGTAAAATCCAGAGACAATGGTTCCAAGAGGCCAAGCGAAGAAGGTTTAGCAAAACAAAGGGAAGTAACCAACCACAGTCATGTGCCAGAAGAGGATGTTTTTGTCAATGACAGACCACACATATGATGGTGGTTCCTTCAGAACATCCTAGAACTAGAAAGTTCCTTCTACCTGGAGGTGTCCCAGCCTTTGTAAAGGCCTAGTGCAACACAGTACTCGTGGGTTCGCGATGGTACTGTCGTAAACACACCCACTGTACTGCCAGTGGTATAAAAGTACAGCACACATGATTATATACAGTGCATTTAACATGACATTGATGATAAACAGCTACATTAGGGTTTACATGTTTACCATACTTTTGTTATTTTAGAGTGTACTCCTTCTCCTTATAAAAAGAAGTTTACCGTAAAACAATATGCCATGCTGCAGCCACAGCAGCCTCATACATCCTGTGTTTACCACATCTCTTGATTGCCTTAAGAGTCCCTGGGCAGTGATTGACACATACCACCCTAGGTTTGTTTAAATAGACTCTATAATGTTTGCATGACAAAATCACCTAATAATGCGTTTCTCGGAACATATTCCCCATCAAAGTGATGCATGAGTGTATTTCAAATGCTACTATTAGACTGAATAAGATTTTACCAATCTGCTGCAGTACAGGGTTGGAAACCAAAGCCTGAAGAGAGTGCAGCCATCAGAGAATAATAGGAATTTTTACCTCTGCCCACAAGGGAGTAACTGGTGTGGGAACTGCACAGTCATCATAAATAACTAAAAAAGTAGACAAAGTATATGAATCAGGGACAGGCATTTGGCCCAGGGGTTGAGACACTGCTTGGGATGACTGAATGTAACACTTGGGTTCAAGTCCTGGCTCCACTTTAACTTCCACTTCCTGCTAACACACATACTGAGAGGCAGCTGACAATGGCCCAAGTACTCAGGTCCCTCCAACCCTGTGGGAGATCTGGATTGAGTTCAAGGTCCCTGGACTCAAAATGGCCCAACCCCAGCTGCTGCAGGCTACCAGACACAAGATTTCTCCATCTCCTCCCTCTCCCACTTTATCTTTCAAATAAATAAAAGTTAAAAAAAAAAACATTTGAAAAAAACAGTTTTCGGACACTGAACAACAGATAATTCAAAACCATGGCCCTTGAGAGAAAGGAAAGCCTAAAGTTTTCCATCCTTGTTGCCAAAGGCACAGTCCAGACTGCAGTCAACAGAAATCAGTCTGACCGATGAGAAGGAGATCAACGGGAGAGCCAAGGTGTCTGGAATGTATGGGTAAAGGACCAGAGAGAAGAACTCTGTTCAGGGCGAGCACTGTGGAGCTCTGCAAAGGGCTAGGCTCAACACCCCACCGGGGTGTGGCTTCAATATCTCACCTGGGTGTGAAACTACCCAAGCCCAGGAAAGATCCACGATTAAGTGTATGTAGCACCCAACGCTGGGAATGGCTTGTGTCTCCGTAAGAGTGGAGAACAAAGGAACAGAGAACCGGGTACAGTTCTCAGAAGCAGGGGGACAAAATTAGTCTCTGATTAGAATATATGAGATTTGCTATTAACAAAATTAAAAAAAATAAGCCTCAAAAGAATCAAACCAATGTGGAACTGTACCTTAAACTAAAGTTTAACATTCCCTAATGACATCAACTAAAATCAGGCACCCAACAAAGTAAAACACACACTAACAGCTAGCAAAAACGAAAACAAAAGACAGGAGGCAGGGGAAGGAGCCAGCCGACGGAAGATCTTCCTCTCTGTCTCTCCTCCTCTCTGTACATCTGACTTTTCAATAAAAATAAAATAAACCTTACAAAAAAGACTCAATATTATCTGTTCCCACAGTGACTTTAAAGCTGTTGTATGAAAGTTTCTCACAGCGACCAAAAGCCAACTTGAAATAAAACATACACTTAATGTTAAAAAAAATTTTTTTTCCCAAAAATTTCAGTTGAAATGTAGCATCCTGAATATATGGAAATGTAAATTAATGGCTTCTCAAAGTTCTTTGTATATATGTACATACTAATTTCCAGTTCACTCATTTTCTATGCATTTTATTAAATGTTACTTGCAGATTTCAGAAAATTCCAGTTTTGTTACAACAATAAGTACTTATTATTGTACAACTTTAAGGCACTCTTGCCTGCCCCTAATTCATCTAGATTTAGAAATGTCAAGGCAGCTCAAACTGGTAGAAAAAAAAACGTACCTAGAATCAAGAAGGCAGGAATCAAGCCAGGTACCTCATTTGGGACACAAGGGACTTAACCAGGAGGCTTCAAAGCCTGCCCGCAAGAGTCGCCATTTTGTGCAGGCAGCAAGGATAACTGGCCTCTGGCAGGGTTGCCATCTGGGGCAGAGGTTTAGCTGGCACTTGAGATGCCCACACCACACATCAATGTGCCTAAGCTACAGTTGAGACTCTGATCTCACTTCCAGCTCCGGCTAATGCTCAAGGCAGCAGGCAGAAGCTCAAGCAGCTAGGTCCCTGCCACCACATGGCAGATGCCCAGGGAGTTCCTGGCTCCCACCTCTGCCCAGCACAACCCCACTGTTAGGGCCAGTTGGGGAGCAATACAATTGAGCAAACGTTCTCTATCTCTATCCCTGACCCTCCATCTCTGCCTTTCAAATTAAATCACTTTTAATCCATAACATTAACCTGTTTGTAAATGTTCCATACTGTATATGTAACAAAAGTAAAACATAACAGAAAACAACAAAACTTACCTTTCAGCACTAAAGGCTGACTCTGTGTCAATGTAGACAACAGCCCCCTCCAATCCTCCCATGTCGATAGGTAAAGTGGCCAAAATGCTCATCATCATGCAAAACTGAGTCTTTCCACAACCTGGTGGGCCTGTAATCTACAATGAATGCATGAATAAATGTCACTTGTGCGTTTATCATAAACCTGCCATGTTCACAGTTCAACTAGCTTGTGCTTTCCAGAGAAAATCTGACCCTAAGACATCCATTGAATAAAATGAATTAATTCCCACCCTGTGCATCTGGACTGATCCCAGTGGTATGTACGTATGTGTGTGTGTCCCCTGCATGACAGAGCCTCCAGTCACAAGCAAGCCTTGCTCCCCAGCGCTGCTGAGCCAAGCCCCCACCAGAGAAACTGAGATGCAACAAATGTCCATGGTTATTGTTTAGTCACTTAGTTATGGGATCCCTTGTTATGCAACAATATTGACACACAACAATCTGTTACTTCCAGGAAACCATATTTCACATACACCAGAGAGTAAAACTAGCTTGAGCGTCACACTCTTCCTTTCCTTGTTGGTAGACAACATTTCAAAGTCTCCTTTCAGATACACTAAGTAGTTACCCCTCTTAAATGAACCCAAATAATCTCATAATATTATTTCACAATCCTTTCTAGTTCAAATGAATAGAAAACCTAATAGATTTCAATTAGTCGGCAAGGTCTTTTTTTAAAAATTACTGTTATTTTTAGACAATGATATTAGGTTTCTGAATAGAAAATCCTACCCTTGAAGGACTTAAAACACAAATCAATGTTCTGAAGGGTGTATCTGTTTTCACTAAACTTTCCTCCCTGGGTCTGAAGGCTACAGTTCAATGGAAGGTATGCAATGTTCTTCCTTTACCTCCGTGAGGGATCCGCAAGCCACACCACCATGCAGGGCTTCATCCAGAGCAGACAGGGTCGTGGGGAGGAATGCGGGGGTGATGGCAGTGGACCTTTGAGTCTTCATGGCATATGCCTAAACCAGAGAAAGGATTTGCCTTCATCTCAACCTCTGCATCTGTGCCGAAGCTTAAACATTAACTCCAAATCTCTACATTTTTGCACCCTATAACTCTAATCCATTCTCCACCCCCCCGCCATTATTTATTTGTTCAATAAATATTTCTTCTGTGCAGGAAGGATTAGGTTCAGTGGTGTGGATATGACAATGGTGGACCCCTGTCCAGATGGTTTTACAGTCAGCCAAGAGTTAAGGAACTGGAACTAGAAACCAGGCCAGGACAACCCAATTCCTAGGAGAGACTGTGATAGGGAGAGTGGAGCCTGAGCCCAGCAGACCTGACCTGGGTGATCTGATGCAGGGAGGCGTCATGAAGGAGCTGCCTGTCTGAGCTGCAATCTGCCAAGGCTGTTAGAGACCCAGAGGACAGAATACACACAGAAAGGCCAAGAAGCAATAAGGAGAGGAACTGGAAACTAAGGAAATCCAAAAAATAAATAAATAAATAGGGCCCGGCGCGATGGCACAAGTGGTTAAGTCCTCGCCTTGCACGCCCGGGATCCCATATGGGCGCCGGTTCTATCCTGGCAGCCCCGCTTCCCTTCCAGCTCCCTGCCTGTGGCCCGGGAAAAGCAGTCGAGGACGGCCCAAAGCTTTGGGACCCTGCACCGCGTGGGAGACCCGGAAGAGTCTCCTGGCTTCGGATCGGCATAGTATCGGCCCTTGCACTCACTTGGGGAGTGAATCATTGGACGGAAGATCTTCCTCTCTGTCTCTCCTCTCTGTATATCCGCCTTTCCAATAAAAAAAATAATAATAAAAATAAATCTTAAAAAAAAAGTGTGGGGTAGCAATTGCACCCATTCATAAATAAATAAATAAATAAATAAACAAAGAAACCAGAGTTTACTGGAGCGTGGGTGCAGGGAGTCAAGCACCGGCTGCAGATGCCAGCAGGCGCCTCACTGTTAAGGGCTTGGCTGAAATGTGCGGTTTATGCTAAGAGGCAACAAGCAACATGACCAAGTCACTGTTTTCCAGTCCAGGAAGGCAGCTGGGGCCCCTGGGGCTGAGGTCTCTTTGGAACCTCTGAGAACATGGCTCCCTGCACTATTTCTTTTTTTAAGTGTCCTTTGCAGATGCAATTAAATTCAAGACCTTGTGACAAAGAGATGATCCTGGATGACCCTGGTGGGGCCTAAGTGCCAACAGAAGCATCCTTGTGAGAGCGGCAGATGGAGATTCTACACACAGAAGCCACGTAAAGACCGAGAAGGGGAGGAAGCAGCCACAAGCCAAGGCCTGCCACCACGCATCCAAACAGGTGAGAGGCACAGCCTGGATGGAAGCCCAGGGCCTCTAAGGAAAGCGGACCTCTGCCCACATCTTCATTGCAGGCCTCTGGCCTCCAGAGCTGAAAGTGAATGAGCAGTCATTGGAAGCCACCAGGGTGTGGTGATTTGTGTTAGAGCTGCCTCGGGAAACTCTCCCTAAAGCCGACTGTTACTTCATGCAGAGATGCTTGGGCTGGTTTCTGAAGACTGGACTGACGGTGGGTAATGCCAGAAGCTGGGCAATCTGTCAGAGAAGACATAGGAACCACTCCAAAAGAAAACAATAATAGGAGGACCACAGTGGAATGGATAAAAACATCCAGGACTAGTGAATGTATCTACAGTCAGTTTTTCTGGGATAATGAAATTCTGAAACTCTACCTCTTTCTTTTCCTAAGTGTTTATCCACCGGAAATTACATAAGAGATTTGGGTGATTTTATTTGTTGCTTTTGATTTATGTAGAACTATCCAACATAGTTGTCTACAAGGAAGGATTTTTTTTTCAATTAATTTATTTATTTGAAAGGCAGCATTACAGAGAAATAAGAGATTTTCTGTTAGTTCACTGTCCAAAAAGCCTCAACAGCCACATAGGTGGAAAAGGCCCAGGCGCCTTCCACTGCCTCCCCAGGCGCATTAACAGGGAGCTGGATCAGAAGTGGAACAGCATGGACTCAGATAGCACGTGGGTGCTACAGGAAGTGGCTTACTCTCTGCAGAACCTTATTTTTTTTAAAGAACCTTAATTAATTTTCTGGAACATGAATCTTTTTCTTATTTCTTAAAAGATGCCTACTTTCAGGCCTGGCATGGTTAGCCTAGTGGAGGCTTCTTGAACTCCCAAACTAAGTAATGCTCGTTGTTACAAATTTCAAAGCTTCTTGGACCCTGCCCTGGACTGAATTTCCACGTCCTACATTTGCCTTGGCCAAGCCCCAGCTGCTACAGAAAGAAGGATCAATGATGAAACAAGCAAATGAACAAGAGAGAGAAGTAGAGAGAGAGGAGGGAGGGAGAAAAAGGAAGAGGAAGAGAGGGGGCCAAATGAGATGGCTCAGGGGCTACATTCTTGCCTTGCATGTGTTGGAATCCCATATGGGCACAGGTTCCTATCCTGGCAACCCAGCTTCTCATCTAGCTCCCTGCCTGTGGCCTGGGAAAACAGCAAAGGATGGCCCAAAGCCTTGGGACCCCACAGTCACATGAGAGACCCAGAAGAGGCTCCTGGGGCTCCTAGGGCTCCTGACTTCAAGTCAGCTCAGCTCTAGCCAATGAGGCCAGTTGGGAGTGAACCAGCAGATGGAAGATTTTTCTGTCTCTCCTTCTCTCCATAAGTTTGATCTGCCTTTCCAATAAAAATAAATAAATCTTAAAAAAAAAAGAATAAAACCAAAGTTGGATTTAAAACAAATAACAATTTAATCATGAAGCTCTCAAATTCTACCCTCAACAAACAATAGATAAAGGAAGCTTTTGAAATAGCACTACAGGGCCCAGCACAATAGCCTAGTGCCTACAATTCTCACCTTGCATGCCCAGGATCCCATTTAGCCGCCGTTTCTAATCCTGGCAGTCCCGCTTCCCATCCTGCTCCCTGCTTGTGGCCTGAAAAGCAGTCAAGGACGGCCCAAAGCCTTGGGACTCTACACTCGTGTGGGAGACCCAGAGGAAGCCCCTGGCTCCTGGCTTTGGATTGACTCAGCTGTGGCCACTTGGGGAGTAATCCAGTGGATGGAAGATCTTTCTCTCTTTCTCTGGGTAAATCTATTTTCCCAACAGCATAAATAAATAAATAAATAAATCTTAAAATAAATAAATACATCTTAAAAATAAATAAATAAATCTTAAAAAAAAAAAGAAAGAAAGAAAAGAAATAGTGCTACAGGGGCAGGTGTTTGACCCAGCAGTTATGCCATCATTGAGGATCCCTGTGTCCTAGGTTCATTTCCCAGCTCCGGCCCCCTCTGCCAGCTTCCGGCTAAGGCGGACCCCAGGGCCAGCAGCAGTGGCTCAGGCATTTGGATTCCTGCCACCTGTGTAGGAGATCCAGACTGATTTTCTGGCTCTTGGCTTCAGCCCCTGGCTCTTGCCAGCATGTGAGGAGAGAACCAGCAGATGGGAGATCTGCCTCTCTTTGTAGATCTGTGTCTCTGTCTTTACTTCTCAAATAAATTAATAGAAATATCACTATTGACCACAGAAAAAAGATTAAAACTTCCTATTGCTTCTAAATTTCCAAATATAGGAACTGGCTCCCATGAGCCTATAAACTACATGCATTTTTCAAATCTATTGTCATTAGGGGACTAACGCTACAGTAACAGATACTATTTCTGAGATTCTCATCTCCATTTTTTTTTTTTGCCTCATTCTGAAAAAGATCTTAAAAGGGGTCAGAAAAAAATTGATTTAATAATTAAATCACATTAGAACAGGATAGAAAGACAGCACAATATATAGATACATACTGTCTTCATCGGAGGGGCACAGGCCCTGCTGACCACATGCAGAAGTTGATGGACGCCTTGGTAACTCAGGCCAGTCACTTTCATAAGCTCCAGTGGAGAGAGGCATAAAAAGTCCTAAACAGACATAGAAAAGAATATTCTAAACATCCATGTGAAGCAAAGATATTGATACCAACATGAATAAATTGAGCATAACAGATTGTGAATTAAGGATTTGTTTCCTATAACAGCATTTTCCTCTAACAGATCAGGCCTCCCAGCCCTGTCTTCCGACTAGCCAGCTTAGCTGGTGTTTAGCTGAGGACGCATCAAGTACTTTCCCAGAGGGCAGCAGCAACAGCCAGGTTGCCCAACTTGCCTTGATTGCTGTACTTGCCCAGAGTCAGGCCCCAGTGACACAAAGTCACTCCTAGTTGAACTAAGAGCTCACTAAGAGAAAGCATTTGATAACAGAGAGAGAACGCAGTGTTAAATTTCATACTTCTTAAAACAGAAGGACTCAAAATATCTTAAAGACATACTATAGGTTTTTTAAAAAGGAGTTACATGCTCTGAAAAATCTATTTAATTAAGAATAAAATCCTGGGCCCAGCAGCGTGGCCTAGCGGCTAAAGTCCTTGCCTTGAACACACCAGAATCTCATATGGGTGCTGGTTCTAATCCCGGCAGCTCCACTTCCCATCCAGCTCCCTGCTGGTGGCCTGGGAAAGCATTTGAGGATGGCCCAAGGCCTTGGGACTCTGCACCCACATGGGAGACCAGGAAGAGATTCCTGATTCCCAGCTCCGGATCAGCACAGCACTGGCCGTTACGCTCACTTGGGGAATGAATCATCAGATGGAAGATCTTCCTCTCTGTCTCTCCTCCTCTCTGTATATCTGGCTTTGTAATAAAAATAAATAAATCTTTAAAAAAAATAATAAAATCCTAAGATAAAACCTTGCATCTTCTTTAAGAGAAATTTGCCTCTGTATTGCACTTAGAAATGTAATTTGGCTGAATGTTTAAGCCACGCATCCTATATCCAAGTGCCTGGCCTTTAAGTCCCGGCTCCTAATTCTAGCTTCCTTCTAATGCGCACCGTGGGAAGCAGCAGCTCCCTGGACTGTGTTCCCAGCTCCTGTGCAACAGCTGGAGAGTGAACCAGAGGTTTCGCTCTCTTTTTTTCTCTCTCACTCTGTATCTCTATCTCTTAAGTATATATTTTAATTAAATCAGCCTATGGAAAAGTAACATCATTTATCTTTTTCTGTAAATGTGAATTTCTTGTTTCAAGTCGAATAGTTAAAACATATTAGAGTTAATTAATACATAGGATTTCTTAGTGAAAAAAACATTGCATAAAATTTACCCGACAGGTAATAATCTGATGTCTGCTGAGACGGTCACACAGTTCTTGGGATAAACCCACTCGTCTTAGTTTCTTACTAGCCATGTCTCTGGGTCCAGCAAAGAACCTTGAAAAAACAACAACAACAAAACACATAAACCATGGTATATGGCCTATTGAAAATGCTTTATAAGATAAAAATTCACACTTTTCCATAAGCAAATGGATCGTATAGTATCTAACACATTATTGATAACACATTGGAAGACTATAGAATTCTTTCTTTTGCTTTAAATATGGAAGACAATGGTTTATCAACCATTCCTATGGAGAAATACGGCAAGTTCAGGATACACAATTCACATAATCCTTTGCCACCTAACCCATGACTAAAACGCCACTTCCTGTTTGTATAGCATCTAAAGATTTTCAACAAAGGACCCCTGTCGTTGCCACCATCTGAGAGATTGGCATCACAATCAGTGCTAGTTGGTTCATGTCTCAGCTGTTCAATGCAGCTCCAATGCAGCTCCCTTATAGAAGCTACAGGAAAAGCAGCAAAGATGGTTGGTTCAAGTACTTAGCTCTATATTAACTCATGTGGAAGACTCAGTTGGAGCTCCTGGCTTGTGCCTGGCCCAGCCCTGGCCCTTGGGACCACTTGGGCAGTGGACCGGTGGAGGGAAGGTCTGTCTGTTTGGTTCTCCCTGTCTCTATAATAACTCAGCCTTTCAAATAAATAAATCTTTTTTTAAAAAAAGATTTGCAAGTATTTATAGAATTTTTTTTATTTGTAATTAATCTTCAGATGTATTTCCAAAGAATCCCTAGAACATCTTCATTTTCATTGTAACAATAAAGGCGGGATTTCCTAAGCACCTAATGTGCACTAGGCATAATTCCATAACTCCCCCTGAATCGCATTTAATCTTCTCAACAGCTCCATAAGGAAAATGCCTTATTGAGTCCTTTCTTATACTTAGGAAAGAAAAAAACTAACAGTTTGTACAGATTAACTGGCCTTTTGTCTCCATGAGGAAGGCAATCCAGAAAAGGATGCAGCGTGTGAAGCCCGGCGGGCAGACTCAGGCTCTGTCTCCTCACCTATCACACACTGCTACAAGTCCATGCATTCAGAACCAACCTTCGGAACGAAATGACATTGCATAATACAATAAGCGTTCCTTATTATACCAGCTGCTCACATTCCCACATCCAAGTTCACTCTGCTGCTGCCCTTGTTAGTGGTAAATGAGATTCATGAGATATTTTTTAGAGAACTAAAGCTGAATCCCTTAATCAAGCACACAAATGGGAGGCTGTGGAGCTTACTGAGATGGCATTGTATCTTATTTTAGTCTTTCTGAAAGAATAGACAGGAACTTGTTCCACAGAATAGAAAGATATAATGAACAAACAAAAGGAAGAAGTAATATTTTGGAACTGAAGCACATACTGAGAATGTAAACAGTTGTACAGTTCCTATACTATAGCCCACATCTCCATGAAACACCTACCACTGTGAATCCAATTAAAATCCACTTTCACACGTCACTTCCTAGAAGTGCAAAGTCACTTCATTTCTCCCCATGGCAATTAGCTCTGATTTTGTTCACATTTTTTATGTATTGAGAGATAGAGGGGATTTCCATCCACAGACACGCTTCCCAAATACCAAAGCTCAGAGTCAGGAGCTCAGCTCAGGTCTCCCACCTGAGTGACAGACAGGTGGCCATCACTGCCACCTCCCAGCTGGAGTCAGGAGCACCACTAGGCACAGATCCCAGGTTCTCCAGCTGTGGTGTGTACCTGTCACAAGAGAAGTCTCAACTGTTATGCCAAGGGAGTGCCCCCAGGACTCAGTAGTATTGATTTTTGCTTTCCCAACAGAAAGTTTACCAAGAGAGAATTTCTATATCATTGAATAGTACATTTTAAATTCAATTCATTCCCACCAGTGGCATCATGTATGCTAATAAATTTAATCAAATTAAAGAACTGGGACCAGTGTGGTAGCTTAGCAAACTAATCATCTACCAGTGGTGCCTGCATTAGGTATGGGCTCTGGTTCAGGTTCCAGATGCTCCATGTGCAATCCAGCTCCCTGCCTATGGCCCACTCCCTTGCTGCCTACCCTGTTTATATTGCTTCTTGTCACCCCCATACCCCAAAATAAATCCACTCTCCATTATTTGCAGCTTAACTTGTTCCTTCCACAGATATCTCTGAAACTAGAGAGGTGTACAAGAAGCTTTTAAACATATTCCTTGCATTTCGGGACTCAACCTTGCAATAAATTGTGTAAATGCTATTTAAATTGCAATGGGGGCAGACAGGAAGAAGCCCTCAAACTGGTGTGAACCGTAGCTTATCCTAAATGTCCCCTTCTTCCTTTAAAACTCCCCATGACTCATTGGACAACTGAAGGAATTCCAAACTTTTTAGGATAGAAACAAAGCCTTCAAATACTGCTTCCCTGAGCCTCCTACCTCAGACTGCCTTCCCCTCAGCGTCCTACGTTCCTCATCTATGAAACAAAGACGATTCTAACATCCGCTTCTTGGGTCTGAAATGAGGGTTAAAGGGGCAGAGTGGTGTTGCACACACAGCACTTCAACATAGCACTCATAACCACCATGGATTCACTCGGCTAACATGATTAGTTAGCACCCGCAAAGGTAACTGGCTGGGTCTTCAAGCAACAACCCCTCCTCTTCACTTCCTTGCACAGGGACTGCCCCAGAGTGGAATCTGCGCTCCAATGCTCTCACTACACTGGGTACACATCTGCTCCGTCATCTTAACATCTGTCCATGGCTAGCACCCAAGGTTCTCCCATAAGAACACCCTGCTGTGTATTTGTGTGTACTGGAAGGCAGGTGGGGGAGTAGGAGCAGGAGGGGCTCAGCCCTAAAACTAGAATCTCTCCTCCCCACCAGCAAGAAAAAAAGGACGATCCTGTGTTACACTGAAAATTTAGCGAGCCTGATCCACGCCGGGCACCGTTCCCAGGGTTTTAATATTTCCCAGAGTTTTATCGATACGAAGACTCAGGCCGTGGCGCCTGCGTCCTAGCCCGTGGATCTGAGTCCGTGTTCCACGCTGCTTCACCTCCTGAGCGAGGGGAGAATCTAAACCTGTCCGTACACTCTTAGTCCTTAAACTACCCCTCTCCCCCAAGTAAGAATGAGGCTCAGGTGGGGGATCAAGAGGCTAAAACCTCACCTGGAGTCCTCTTACTTTTTAAGAGTTTCTTTCTCCAACCAAAAGGCAGTTTCCTGGTGTCTCCCTCCCTCTTACCCTCCAACCCCCAAGAATAGCCAGCAGTCTTCGAATCCGAGGCGGGGTTCCAGCAAGATTCCTAAGAACTGGAGGGGGTGTGCCCACAGCACCCGAAACTCCCTATTCCGAGAAAGCAACACCCACAGACCCACGGAGCAAGCAGAAAATAGTGAGGGCGCCCCATTTGCCTACAGCTGCCCCTCCACAGATACACACACACACCCCCAAACCCAAACTGTCCAGTACCGGGTCAGCTGTCTCCAACTTTCAAATTGCCCCCACCCCAGGCAGAGTTCCCGCGGAAAGAGCTGTGGAGAAACAACCCAAGCGGTGGTTGGAGCGATATCCTCCTCTCTTATCCAATCAGAAGTAGGCGGTGGTTCAGGTTGCCCCCGCTGCTTGCTGGGAGTTGTAGTTCTCACTCCTGCCATCAGCCTACTGAGTTGGAATCCTAGTCAATACAATCATTATTAAAACCCGGTGGTGGTGGTGGTGGGAAGCGGTGAACGTTACAAGGAGAGGGCGAAGCATAATTGCTTGGAATTTTCTCCCTTCATATAGGCTTTCTGGGAAATAGATTACCTGCCGTTAAAGGGTTTTGAAAGGCAGTGTTCTGTTTGCTTTTGCTTACTGCCCTTTGGGCGAGAAAGTCTCCTTGGAAATGCTGAACTTGCTCAAACTGAAACGTACTGGAGAATGCAGAGTTGTCCTTGAAAAAGATCACGAAAACCACACAACGTTCAATGGCTGCGATGAGGAAATCGATAAATCCCCACACGGAAGCCCCAGTTTCGAGAGTTCCAGGTGATTCCACTTGAGGAAAGCCTTTGCCCGTTCTCTGCCTTCGTCTCCCCTGTGCATACCTCCGCCTAAGCCTTGAGCCACTGTGTCCTAAGGATTGGCATCACCCTCCAGTGAACAGGCAGATGAAAGCATGGAATGAGAAGCAGAAATCAGACCGCAGGGATTATGCTAGCGCTACACTGACAGCAGAACACGGGAGGAGGATCCACGCCATTCGATACTGGCTTCATATCCTAGGGGATTGGAGGGGGGATAAAATCGAAAGACCCGGCTGCTCCTTCCACCTGCTCGGCCAACGCAGAACTGAAAGCGTTGGCAGAGTCGCTGTCCTGAGGGAGAAGCAAAGTAGCGCTCTTATGAGCCGCTCACAGCTCTCAAGAGACGGCATCACGTGAGACCAGTATGGCCCCTTATTTGCATCTTCCCTCGATTCGACCAATAGGAGTGGCGTTGTCAGTCGTCACTACCTTACGCTGGGTGGGTCACCTGACCCGGCACAAACATGGCTGCGCTGGGATCTCTGTCGTGTTGGGCGCCAGGAGCAGGTGAGTGTCAGACACCAACAGAAGGAGCGGGCGCGAGGCACAACCCCGCAAGGGAACATCCCTGCACCCCGCCGCCCCTCTCCAGGTCGCGTACAGAGGTGACTGCTGATTTTCAGTCCTCTGCCTCAACCGGGGAAGTGCCTGCTTAATTTCTCCTGCTTAAGGAGGAGAACACCTGGGCATCTGGAGCTAGACTGGGCACAGAAGTCCAGGAGGGTATAAAGAAGTGGGATTAGCTGCAGGCTAACAAATGGATTCATGTTCATCAATACAGGATGCACCTAGAGAGGCGCCACCCCTAACAGAAAGTGGCAGTTCTCAAAAAGAGATAGTAGGGTATCAATTTAAACTAAAAACGGCAAAGAAGGGAAGTGCATGCACTGCCTTTCCCAGGCATGCCAGTCGTTCATGTGGACCTCCTTCTGTTGCTTCTCACACTCCTGTACGTTGTTTCCAGGAGGGACTCCGCGAATGAGAAAATTGAAAATGCATTTGGCATAACTCATCCTTTGAGCTCCCTGCACTCCGTGCTGGGGGAAAAAAAAAATGAGTCATCCCTTTGGAAAAGAGGAAGCGGCTTCCCAAAAGCAGCTTTTTGGATTTTTCTGTGAGTGCCTGCGGAGAGGAGAATGGGAGCTGGCGCGCGCCTGTGTCCCTCAGCTCCACGAGGGACCAGGGGATCTCCCCAAGAGAGTGGAAGACATACTTCAGGCGCTGGTGGTGTGTCCAAATCTGCTGAGGTAAGGACTCTCCCAGAGGACAGGAGACAACATCATTCATATTGAGGCTCTAATCAGTGGAACTCACCCATCCTCTGAAGACAGCCTGGGCAGAGTATTTCACACACTGTGAAAATTTTACCTCCGCAAACAGGTTCTTTACTGAGTGGACCTGGCTTCAGGGGATCGCTTGGAACTAAATGTAAGCCAAATGTGTGTGAAACCACCTTTCCCTATTTGTCATCATTTGAAGTGGACAGAATTGCGCAGAAATGTATTTTCTTTTGCCTTCAACGAAAAAACAAACCTTATTCTCTTCTGATTAATTAGTTTGAAGATACTGTCACTTTGGCAAAAACTGAAGTGAATTATTTACGTTTTAAATGTTTGCTTATCTCCATTTTTTTATTTGAGACAGAAAGGAAAAAGATTTTCCATCCTCTAGTTCATTCCTCAGATGCCCACAACAGCCAGGATGGGACCAGGCAGAAGCCAAAAACTTAAGCCACGTCTGCCATTGGGGTGACAGGGACCCAAATACTTGACCCAGCACGAACCTAGATTCAAACCAGGCATTCCCCAACAAGGTGGAGGCAGCCCAACGGACAGGATAACCACTATGCCAAACATCTTCCTTACAACTCTTTATTTTGAAATAATTGTAGGCTCATATGATGTTGCAGAAATAATACAGCCCAGTCTGCCCTTTCGTAACTGCTCCCCAGTTATGATATCGCCTACAGCTGAAACACAGTACCAAAATTAAGAAATTGTACTGTGAACCACACTGCAAACTTCACTTGGATTTCATAATTTTAAAAATATTTTTTGAATTTGTAGGGTTTTTTTTAAGATTTATTTATTTTTATTGCAAAGTCAGATATACAGAGAGAGGAGGAGAGACAGAGAGGAAGATCTTCTGTCCAATGAGTCACTCCCCAAGTGACCGCAACAGCCAGAGCTGAGTCAGTCTGAAACTAGGAGCCATGGCTGCCTTGGGCCGTCCTAGACTGCCTTCCCATCCTCGACACGCCACAATCAGGGAGCTGGATGGGAAGCTGGGCTGCCAGGATTAGAACCGGCATCCATATGGGATCCCAGCACATGCAACACAAGGACTTTAGCTTAGCCACTAGTCCACCAAGCCAGGCCCTCATTTGTAATTTTAAATAGATTGGCCCATATACAGATCTACATAGTCCTATCATAGCAAAGACACAGAAATGCTCCATCCCTCACCACAAACAAAATAAAAAAAAAAACCTTTCACGCTTTGATGCCACCTGTTTGTCTCCATCCTAGATTTATGACAAGCAGTTCTATTAGCAACTAGTGGTATGGGAGTCGGGTTTGTTGTTTTGGTCCTCCTGTGTGTTTAACAGTTTCACTTTGCTCTGTTATATGGTGTAAGTACTGTTGGCATGAATAGACTAGAAGAACTTGAGGGATTCCCTGCTTTACCCCACCTCACTCCCACCTTAAATTTGGGTGCTAACTAGTTATTGTCTAAATTGCTAACTTCAAAGAAAATTTTATGAATTCCTGTAACCCTGTTTTTAGCGCGTGTGTAAAAAAATTTAGGAGGATCAGGCATTGTGATAAAAGGGACTAAATTTCCATTTGAGGCTCCCATATCCCACACTAGAATGCAACTTTGACTCTTGCTACTGTCCCTCTTGCCCAGCTTCCTGCTGATGCATCTGGGAAAGCAGAATAATGGCCTAGTAATGGGGTCCCTGCCATCCATGTAGGAGACCCAGACGGAGATCCAGGCTCCTAGGTTCCACCTAGCCCATCCCAGCCCCAACTCGTGGGAGCATCTGGGGAGTGAACCAGCAAAATGAAAATCTCTCTCCCTCGCTGTCATTCTGCCTTACAAATAATTAAATATGTCTTTTCAAACTTTTTTTTTAAATAAGACCCCTTTTTTTCTTTAAAGTGAAATTAGATTTCTGTTCAACAATGTGTTGTAAGTAGCATTAGCTATTTGGGCTTTTTCTGTAATGTTTTATTGAAAACCAGACCTAGATAGGGGAGTGAAGGTGGGATAGAAATTTCTTTTTTAAGATGTATTTATTTGAAAGACAGAGAGACAGAGGAAGAGAAAGAAATTTTCCATGCACTGGTTCACTCCACAAATGGCCACAATGGCCTGGGCTGAGCTGAGGCAAAGCCAGGAGTCAAGAGGCCGTCCGGGTAAGGTCTTGTCTTGTCTTCTCTCTCTTTTTTTTTTTTTATGAAAGCTGGTAGCTCTGTTCTGATTGAAATGCTTTATTGAACTGTCATATACTTCTCTAAGTTTCTCATTTTATAGATTTCACATTAGGACCTGCTTGCTTGTGCAGGTTTGAAATAGACTGTGCAGTGAATTGTAAATCAGGGACAACAAGAAAAGATTAGTAGAAATTCTTTCTTACAAAGTTTTTCTTTCTCTTTTTTCAGATGTGAACAAGCTATTAACCCTCAAAGATTAGCCTGGTTCTGGCTGCTTGTGTTGGAAAAATGGCTAGCCCAGGAGAAGGTAAGGAGTTTTCCCTTTAAGTTTTCCCAAGGACTGAAAACATGAGTTACTTACAGATTTCCTTTCTGTCTGTTGCTTCTTTAATTCTGAAATGAGTCATATGCTTTCTCAGTACCGACGCTGAGAACTGCTTCCATTTTACTGTTGTCTTCTTATGTAAATGCATCAATCCCCTGACATATACTAGCATTTAATCCATTTGGGGTAATTCCATTAAAAATATTTATTTTTATGTCTTATTGGAAAAGCAGATGTACAAGGAAGAGGAGGAGATACAGAAAGATCTTTAATCCTTTGATTCACTCAGTTCACGGCCACAATGGTCAGGGCTGAGCCAATCCACAGCCAGGAGCCAGGAGCCAGGAGCTTCTTCCGGGTCTCCCACATGGGTGCAGGGTCTCAAAGCTTTGGGCCATTCTCTGCTGCTTTCCCAGGCCACAAGCAGGGAGCTGTATTGGAAATGGAGAAGCCGGGATCCAAACCAGCACCCATATGGGATCCCAGCAGATGCAAGGAAAGGGTTTAGCCACTAGGCTATTGTGCCAGGCCTGCCGTAATTTCATTTTATTAAATACAAGTGTGAGTCTTGTGGCTGAAGAAAACTTGGAAGAACTCAGTAGAAGAGGCAAGGTAGCAAATAAAAACGTGAACCTGTAACATTTGGATCTGATCAACACCCATATAAATGAGAATAAGCAGCGCGAGTGTGGTGGCATCACATACTAAACTCCTGCCTATGGCGCCAGTATTCCAAATGGGCACCAGTTTGTGTCCCAGCAGCTCTAATTCCAATTCAGTTCCCTGTTTATAGCCTGGGAAAGCAGTGAAGAATAGCTCAGCTCTTTGAGCCCCTGCAGCCACGTGAACGATCCAGAGGAGGCTCCAGGTTCCTGACTTTGAACGCGCCCAGCTCCAACCATTTTAGTCATTTGTAGAGTAAGCCTGTCTGTCTCTCCCTCTCTCTATATATAAAAAATCTTTCAAATAACTGAGAAGGAAAAAGAATACACTGACCTGAGGTCTGGTTTTTTTCTCTTACAGCTTTATTTTTATCATCAAATACAGTGAAAGTGTATAGATGTAAATTTCATTAATGGAGCCTGGCGCGGCAGCCTAGCGGCTAAAGTCCTTGCCTTGAATGTGCCAGGATCCCATATGGGCGCCAGTTTGTATCCCAGCAGCCTGCTTCCTATCCAGATCCCTGCTTGTGGCCTGGGAAAGCAATCAAGGACAGCCCAAGGCCTTGGGACCATGTGCCCATGTGCGAGACCCAGCGGAGGATCCTGGCTCCTGGCTTCAGTTTGGCTTGGTTCTGGCCATTGCAGCCACTTAGGGAGAGAATCAGAGGAGGAAGGATGTTTCTCTCTCTCTCTCGTCCTCTTCTCTGTATATCTGACTTTGCAGTAAAATAAATAAATAAACAAATAAATAAGTAAATTCCATGAATGAATTGGCACTGTTGTTAAGATCCTGCTTGTGACACCCATGTCATGTCAGAGTGCTGGCATTCTATCCCAGCTCCACTTCCAAGTCCAACCTCCTGCTAACACACACCCGAGGAGGCCACAGGGATCATTCAAGCACTTGGATCCCTGTTACCCACTGGAGAGACCTACGTTGAGTTCCTGGCCACTGTGGGCCAATGGGAGATAGAGCAGCATAGGAGATATTTCTCTCTGGCTTTCAAATAAATAAAACAGAAGTAATAAGCAAATTCTATGAAAGAAAAGTGCTAAGGATACACTTTATATTTTAAAGAAAAACTTCCCCTTAAAGTCCTTTTAGAAGTATATACTAATCATTAGAAATTGATATTCACTAAAGAAGTTTCTCTAAGACAATTATGTTACTGAATTTTGATGATTGCAGTCGGGAAACTGAGTCAGATTGGAAATGAACTGCCCAAGAGCACGCTGTAAAGCTGCCAGGCAGAGCTGGAACTGAAACCGAGCTCTCCTGACTCCCTGTCGCCTGCTGTTTCCACCTCACGGTTCCTTTTTTTAGCCCATATGTTTTCTTCACATGTCTATAATTTTGCCCACTTTCAGTTATCCTCTCTCCTCCTGGTTGTCAGAATTCATTTTAACTTTATGTCCATTTCTGTGTAATTTTTGTCTTTCACATAAGAAGGCATTCCAAAGATTTATTGAAAAAAAGAAACTGCAAGGTAACGTTACTTTGGTACAGAAAGTTTGAAATCCATGCATCATTTTTTTTTTAGTAATATAATATTTTCTGCCACAATAAACTTTTTTTTTAATTGTCTCCCCAAACTTTTTAAAGTGCCCTCAAGGCTGTCAAAAGTAATGAATTACTAATCAAGCTACATCTGTATCTCAGGCTTTAGCCAATTGTCTAGCCAAGAGAAATGACAAAAAGAATTAGAAGAGAAAAAAAGGGAAGCAAGATTGAAAAACAGTGATGCTTAAAAATAATTGAAAGTTGGCTGTGGTTTCAGGTTTGTAAGACACTTGAGCTAAAATAGCAATACCACGAAGATTTTGTTACTGATTAAGGATCCCTCTAGTGAAAACATGGAATGGGTCAAACCGAATGAACTTTGCTTTAGTGGCAGCTGCTTGCTTACTCCGAGCCTGATTGGTGGTTTATACCCTGTGTGGTTGCTCAACCCCATCGGGCAGTGGACTTCACTTCCCTGGCTCCTCAGCATGGACTACAAATTGTTCTTGTTTCTCTCGACATCCTAGGTTATTTAAACATTTGTGTTTCTCATAGAATTGCCAAAAATGTTATGTAGGGCCAAGATGTTAAGCACATTTTTTTCTGGTAGGTTCTAAAAGGGCAGTCATTATCTAAGAGCTACTTTGATTCTCTAGGAATCTGATGGCTGCCATCCATTTCCAGATTGCCACCTTCTGCCAAAAACATCTTTTATTATTACTATTATTACAACTATCATTATTATTATTATTATTATTATTTGAAAGGCACAAGGAAATCTTGTTGGTTCACTCCTCAAATGCCTGCAGATCAAAGATGTTGTTGTTGTTGTTGTTGTTGTTATTACTATTTGAAAGGCACAAGGAGATCTGCACGTTTAATTTCACCAGTGAAATAAATACAAGCCATTAAGTTCTTGGGTTTCTAAGTAAAACCTTAAAATTTTATTAAAAATAAAACAAAACAACCTTGAAAACCTTACATTTAGGGCATCTTTCCCTTTTTTTTCCCCTTGATCCTCACTAGAAGTCACCCTTCCTGTTCCCAGCAGGAATGTCTTCCACCAGCTTCCAGTCCCAGGCGTTACACAAGCCTCCTCACAGCTGGTGTGCCTTTTATTAGGGAAGGGCATGGAAAGAAGACATTGTAGATCCGGAATGTATTCCATCAGGTGTTAAGCTTTGCTGTGGTGAATGGCACAGGGATGGAGGAAGTATAATCTTGTGTTTGTAATACCCCATCCCAACACACACCCACCCCCCAACCCCCCCCCACACACACACTCCTCTCTACCTCGCTTTCTTGCTTTCACGCTCCCCTCCTCTCTTGCACACTCTCACTCATACACTGCTTTTCCTGCAGGTGCTCTATGCCTTCCAATAAAGCTCGACTTGAGGAAGCTTTAACCAGTGGCCTCGCTGGTTCCAGATATGTCTGATTTACAGCAGTGTTTGTCATTACCGGTCCTAAACTCTAGTCAGTCTTACTTTGTTTAGAAAGGAGAACTAATGTGAGCTTTAAGGAGCTAGTGAAAAGAAGTTACAGGAAAATCAGCTGGTGCAGAAAGTCAGAAGCATTCTCCCTCTACTTGCAGTAGACCTTGATGCTCATTAACACATTAGGATCGTATTTTAATTCTGATTTTGAAATCATGTGGAAAGATCTCACAGACATTTTGAAAACACAGGGCTACATTCCCCAGGTTTCTTTGATTTAGAAATTCAATGAGGGGCAATCATGGTAGCACAGCAGAACACCTTCCTAGCCCATCAGAGTACCTGTTTCCACATCCTGACTACTGTGCCCTACTGACCCAGCTTCCTGCTAACGTGCCTGGAGGCAGCACAGAGTCACCTAAATGCCTGGGTATCTGCCATCCACATAGGAGATCTGGATGGAGTGCCTGGCTCCTGGCTTCAGCCTGGCCTAGTCCTGACCACTGCAAGCATCTGGGGAATGGGCCAATGCTTGGGAGATCTCTTGTCTTCTCACACAAGGACTTTCAAATAACTAAAACTTTTATTTTAAAATGAGATTAAAAAAATACATAGCATTTAGCACTGGGCATACAGTAAGTGCTTAAATATACTTTAAATCCCTCCCACTTTTCCAACTAGAATGCAAAGGATAATAAATCTCAAAAAGAAGGGTTTGGCCCAAAAGACGATCAAAGAAGAATGTTATGGATGTCATTAGCTGGTTTTGTTTGTAGAGAAAGTATCTAAAGCATATCCAGGAATTGAGTGGTTAAAAGTATTTTATTTTAAAGAAATTGCAGCTATATGACTGATTGGAGAGAAATGTTATAATTTGTTCTCTAAGGCATATGGCTAATCTTTATGCTTCCGTCTAATGATTCTCCTAGAAGTTACTTCCAGGATTTTTCCGAAGAAAGCTCGAGTTTCTGTTACTGTCAGAAGACCTCCAAGGTGACATTCCAGAGGACATCGTCAAGGTGAGGCCGTCTGTCCAGGGTTAGAGTCCTCAACATGTTCAGCCTCAGGGACCCAGCACTTGGCTTAGGCAAAGCAAGGGGGAAACCACTCTAAGGAGTCTTTACAGTTGGGGTACATTCATCTAACTTTAGGTTTTTTAAATTGGATACTATAAATATATAACATATGTGTAATTTTTTTATTTCATGTATAAAGAACATATAGCTTGAATTTAAATTGAAATGTTTATCAGTAGATAATAGGAATGTGAAGGGAGAAAGGAATAAATGTTTGTTGACTAGTTTCTCCATAATAGATACACGGAATGCATTATAGTTAATCCTTAACAACCACTTCCTGGGAGCAGAATCAAACTCAGCCTTAACTATGACTGTATAGCAAGTGTCAGTTATCCTAAAGCTCAGTGCTTACTTTCTTCATGAGCTAACCATTGATTAAAGATATATTTACAATTTTTAAAATATTTATTTAAAAGTCAAAATTAGAGAGACAAAAGAAGAACAGAGAGAGGATTTTCCATGCCCCAGATGACTGTAGTATCCAGGGCTGGGCCAACCCAAACACGGGAACTAGGAGCTTCCTCTTGGTCTCACACATGGGTAGCAGGGCTCAAACACATGGTCCATCTTCTGCTTTTCCCAGGCTATTAGCAGAGAGCTGAATGAGAAGTGGAGCAGCTGGGACTTGAACTGATACCCATATGGGATGCCAGCATCCTAGGCACTAACTTTACCCATTATGGCATAAAGCCAGCCCTTATGCTAGGATTTTAAGTGAGGACTTTCACTTGTATTAAGTCCAGAACTGATGGCTGATCCCGAGCCATTCAGGAGCCAGGAGCTTCTTCTGGGTCTCCCATGTGGGTGCAGGCCCTAATGCTTTGGGCTATCCTCGACTGCTTTCCCAGGCCACACACACACGGAGCTGGATGAGGAAATAGAACTGCCAGGACACAAACCGGCATCCATATAGGATCCTGGTACTTGCAAGGCGAGGACTTTAGCCACTAGGCTATTGTGCCAGGCCCTATATGAAGTTCTTTTAAAAATTAAACGTTGATACCTTTAATAGGCATACTGTTGTACCTGCCTATTCTATGAGTTTACAAGCCAATTTAGGTCACCAGTGCATATTTTGGATACAGTGGGCTGGGACTGACTGAACATGGAGGCCTTGGGCAATTGAGATCATCACTCTTCAGTCTCTTGTAAAATGGGGATAATGGTGGATCATTGGATTTGGTTTTTGTTGTTGTTGTTGTTTGTTGTTTGAGCGAAGGACCCAGAACAGTATCCTGTCCAGAGTTAACAACCACAGAACTGTCCACTACTGCTACTATTATGTATGTGTGAGCTAAAAAAAAAAAACCATGAAGGCACACAAGTAAAATTATTCTTAAAATGCCCTTCACCATTCCTGTCTCTGTCTAGGAGCTGTATGAGACTTTAGCACAAGGTGCAGTGAGCCCTGGGTCTGATGATAAGCAGACATGGGCAAACCAGACTCCCCGGCTCAGCAGTGAAGCTGTCCGTGTGCTCTGGACTCTTCTGAGGCAGGCTCCCGAGCCAGCACAGGCCCTGCTGGAGCTGCTGCTGGGGGAAGACAACAGCCCCGGCTCCCGTCACTGGCCCCTGCAGAAGGCACTAGTAGAGCTCATTCGTGAGGCACTGCGGACTTTGCAAGGCCCTGACTCTGGACTTTCTGGGGTGGTGGAGGCCATTTATGGAGCCCTGCGGACTCTGCGTTGCCCTGCAGAGCCGCATGGGGCTGAGTTGCGTCTCCTGTGCGAGGAACTTCTAGAAGCCTGCAGGGCTGAGGGAAGTGTGCTGCGGGAAGAACAGCTGCTTGGCTGCCTGCTGCACAAGACCGGGCGGGGTCTGGTGTCCCTGTATGGCCATACCTATGCAGATAAGGTCACGGAGAAGCCACTCAGGACCACAGCCTCAGAAAAAGGTGGGTTTCCTTTGCTCCTTGTCTTTCTGGGACCCCCAACTTGCTCAGTCTCTCTCTAAAGTTCCTCTGGTTGGGCACCTTTCTGTATCACTCAGGACATCTCATGAAAGACGCCAAGAAAAAATGAAGATGTGTTCTTTCATAAAAGCACAGAATTATAGTGTAAATTAGGGGTGATAGGGAGAAAATAGTGACAGCAATAGCAAGAAAAAGCTACTGGAAGAAGTCTTTAAGTTTAAAAATGTAGAATGCCTAGGTTAGGTGCTTAAAAGATCAGATTTTCACCTCAGTTCTTGTTTTTGTTTTTTATGTAATTTTTGCTTAATAATGGGAGAGAGCTGCCATCCACTGGTTCACTTACTTTCCCAATGGCCCTGACAGCTAAAATGGAGAGAAATGGGCACTTTTCCAATGTCCCAGGACTAAACCAGGCTAAAGTCTGGAGCCAGGTACCTAACCTGGGTCTCCCCTATGGATGGCAGAAACCCAATCATATAAGCCGTCATCAGCTGCCTCCCAGGGTGCTCCTTATCAGGAAGCTGGAATCAGTAGTAGAGCCAGGATTGCATGTCTTAGCCACTAGGCCAGATGCCCAACCCTGCAATTGGTTTGTCAAGTGGCACTGGCTTAGGAAAACAGAGCTCTTGGTTTCCCAACAACCCTGTTTGGTTTGGTGTTCAGTCTCTCCAGATCACATAGATCCTGAGCGGGTGATGCTAGCCCTGTTCTCCAACCCTGAGCCCGCCCAAGCTTGGAAAGTCACCTTCTTCTACTGCCTGAGCAACAGCAAGCACTTCCTCGAGCAGATCCTGGTGAGTCAAGCCTGATATTCTTCTCTAGCACTGGAATACTCGGGGACTCTCTAGGTTCTTTCACAGTCATTTATCACAAGGCAGCCTAATCAACAGGGATCTATTTGCCTCTGTCCATCACACAGTCCCAGGAGAGATGAGGCCCCATCATAATGACAACTGCATTCATCTTGTGACGATCCTTTGGCAGGAACTGAAATGGTGCATGTGTGTACGTTTCTGGGGAATAGACAAAAGAAAGGACAATGGCAGCAGTGTGTGGCCTGTCCAACAGTTTATTTCCTGTCACTTTTCCTTTCAGATTGCAACTGAGTTTAATAGATTCATCAGACCCATTCTGTGTGTCTTTGGCTGTGCTAAGAGCTTGGGTAACAACAAAAGTTAGTTGCTGCCTCCAAGATGTTTATACCCTGGTGTTGTCACACACATTTTTATTTTGTTCATTGTCAGAAATCTCCCTGCTGTACTAAGAAACAACTTTCCCTAATGAGCAGCAAGCCAGAATGTCTCCCCTCTAGAACACAGCTGCCTAGTCACAACCATCTTTGGCTTACAGGTAACCGCACTAACACTGCTGAAAGAGGAAGATTTCCCAAGTCTTGGCTGCCTGTTGGATCGAGAATTCAGGCCTCTGCGCCACCTGCTCGTGCTGCTAGGCTGGACACACTGCCAGAGTCTAGAGTCAGCTAAGCGGCTGCTGCAGACACTCCACAGGCCCCAGGTAATTCTTAGTCTGTTCTCCAGGCTGTCCCAGAATTAAGTGTCCCAGGCCTTTGGGTGTAGGCAGGAGTCAAGGTCCTACTGTTTATCATAGCCACTGACCCAGGAGCCTGAGTTAGCATCTGCATGTTTTCCCCTATCGACACAGGAGCAGGATGGTGATGAGCTCCTCAGGGATGCCTGTGATGGACTGAGTGCTCACCTGGAGGTCCTGGAATGGTGTGTACAGCAGAGCAGGTATGCATCTGTTCAGTGAGCCCTTTCCTGCCATCGGGCACACTTGACCATGTGCTCTGTATGTGGTCCTCTCAGGACATCTTCCATATAAATGCTTTTAGCTGACCACATTGATCAGGAAGGAAACATAAAATAATGATTTTCTTTGCTGTGGCCATTGGAACAAAACTAGAGATTAATGCAGGCCCACAATAGAGCCATCTCTCCCACTTCCTGGATATCAGGCATTGTTCCACTTCCTTTATTAATGCCACTTCATCCTCGTAGTAACCTTATGGGGTGGATACCAATAGTCCCTTCATTTTAAAGATGGCACAACCAAAGCCCAGTGATGTTAAGTCAATTACCTAAAATCACACAGCTAAGTGTTGCCTGTGTTCATAGGTAATATATTGTCCTGGATCAGACTTTGATCCAACACAACCTTACTGAACTATGTGCGAAGCCACCCATGTCCCTGAAAACTCATAACCTTGATCTGTCTTGCTCTGTATCACCCCTGGCTGTACTTCCTGAATTAATTGGGCAGAGGGAGTTGGCAGGAAGCAACAGCTTCTGGTCAAGCTGGAGAAACTTGTGTCAGAAGCCAGTTAGAAGCTGCAGAAGATGTTGAGAGAAGGGCCATTTGTGGATAAGGAGATCTGAATTGATGGATTTAATTCCCCAAGGGAAAATAAATATCGGGCTGTGTTCCAGAACAATTAAATGTGGTATTTGGGGAAATGAAACCTAGTATGTATGGGCCAGCAAAGAACAAGAAGGGAACAGAAATATGTCTTTCTTCAAGAACATGAAAGAAACTCTCTCCCCTTGCATCCCTCCAACTTTTCCTTTCAGCAACCCCATACCAAAGAGAGAGCTCTTGTGTCATTTACACGGCGGAGACAGCCACTCAGTGCTGTACTCGCTCCATCACCTCACCCACCTGCCAGCTCTTAGGGAGGAAGAGGTTCTCAGACTCTTACACAAGGTGCCAGCCAAGGATCTCCAGCAGGAGCCTGGTAAGTTGGCAGGAGGGAATAACCTGGCTGAGAGTCCTCTCAGGACTGATTTCGCATGCGTTTCTTCCAGTCTAAGATTTACTTAGAGGTGATTGTGATTCCTAAGAACATGGTTCATCAGTTGCTCTCTAAATGAGAGCTCTTGGCCCCAATCAGATTATATGATGTGAGGGCATTCCTCGTCTTTCTTGATACAGAGTGGGGAGTCCTATGAGCCCAGCCCTGTACCCTTGATCCTTGGGGAGCCTCTTCAGGAGTATGTCCTATGTCAGGAACACACAATTAAGAACTGTCTTCTGAAGTCACAGCATTGCCACTGTCAATTTTGGGCAGATTCTCGGAGACTTGCTTTATGCTGCTAAGCTTTCTCATACCTCATGTTGTATCTTTCCTCCCATATTCTGTTAAACAAATTAAGTTATGTAAAAGAAAACTTGCTTGAAATAATAACAAAGCTTTGTTCGAACCAGAGATCTTTCTATTGTATTCAAGACTCCATTAGCAAGCTCTTTTTGTTCTGAAAAAAATCTTATCATTGTGTCGTCACAACCTGCAGGCTAGGTTCTTGCCATTGAAGAAGAAAAAAACTCCCATGAGGCAATTGATGTTTGCAAGCCTACATGTTGCTTTGATTTACTTTTACAGGAATCTAGTACTAATTGGAAAATGAGTATCACCACATTCCACATGTTTTTCCAGAAAGGCAACTCATTTAGCAGATTTCTTAAAGGACCCAGAAAGCAAGCTTTCCAGTGTTTCGAATCTAATCCCTGGTGACCCTCTGAGATACCCTTGGCTTCTGAACTTGGAAGAGGCAAAAGAGAACCTTTATCAGGGCTGGCACTGAAGTGAGGCAAGAGAGGCATTTTAAGAAGCAAAGGTGAAGAAGGCCTCCCGTGTGCATGCATGCTTGTCAGGCGTAGCATTCCTGTACCTGCCTGCTCAGGTCGTGAGATGTGGGGAAAGTTAGTAGGTGGAGACTGAAGGCTGATGCTGAGTAGGAGGAAAGGCCTGAATGGGATGCGGTCAGAAAGGCGAGATTGGACATCTCCTTAATCAGTCTGGGAGCCTAGGCATGAGGGAATCAGCTCTGACCGTCTGCCCATTTCTCTCCATGATTCAGACTCAGCTGACACTCCGGTCCCTGAACACCTGAGCCGGTGTCAGAACCTGACACTCTACCAGGGTTTCTGTGCCATGAAGTATGCCATCTATGCCCTTTGTGTGAACTCACACCAGCACTCCTCGTGCCAGGACTGCAAAGACAGCCCCTCTGAGGACCCGGCCTCAGCCACGGAGCTGGCCAGTGACACTGTCTCTCCCCCAGGTACAGCACTTCCCCTCGTGGGTAGCAGAAGCTGAGAACAACCAGTACCCACAAGTGATTCATGTGGTTTTTCTTTTCCACTCAGATTTGGGGCTTTACTTGATTTTGTGATGCCCAGGAATTATTTTGCCCATTTACATAATTGGTAAGGATAGGAAGGATCGAGGATCAGGGAAAAGTGGGTGTGATCATTGTTTCCAAGTTTTCCATTTCTTTTTCCTCTATCTGGGGATGGGAGGGTGTGGGCAGACCAGGGGGGAAGCCACACCCAGCTTCCTAACCACCCGAGCACCTGGGGATGGGGGACAGCCACCCAGTATCGACCCAGGGTCCTGATGTGGCATATGCTCTGATGGTTCTGCCCAGGTGGTTTAGATAGTTATGAAATGTTGTCAATCTCGTCAATCCAAAGATGAAGAAACACTTTGTGTCCATTGGCTGACAGAGTTGACCTCAGAGTCTCCATTCGCCCAGATATTTGCTGTCATGTTTGGGCTGGGGTTTCATTTTTCATAATAACTTGTAACTCCTTAGCTTGCTCTCTGTCTCTGAGTAGTATTCGGCTATCTCTCTCTTCCAGCTTTGAAGTAGATTTCTACCTTGGAGCCCAGCCCTTTTTCTTTAGAGAGGTACAGGGCGTACTTGTTAATGCCCCATATATGTACAGTGTCCCTCAGTGAGGGCTGAAACCAGGAGCCAGGCACTCAATGCAAGTCTCCCACATGGTGGTCGGAACCCAATTACTTGAACCATCACTGCTGCCTCCCAGGGTCTGTATTAGTAGGAAGCTGGAAGTAGGAGCTAGAATCCGGTATCGAACCGAGGCAGTGCAGTGTGGGACTTAAGTACCTTAATCACTAGGCTAAGTGCCCAACTAGTCTTTTTTGACTATGGAGTATTTCTTTACAAGATCTAAGCAGGCCAGGATTGCCTTAATGTAACAATCAGTGAAATTAGAATAGAGAACAGAAGAATCTGTGTGCTGCCTTCATCGCTGGAACTGAAATTAGGGAATATTTGTCGGAGATGAGAAATAACATATTTCAAAAAAAACCAAAATTGTGAGTGTCCACTAAGGTGGGATTTTAGTTAAAGTAGCAAAACCTTTCTGCCAGTCATAAGCATATTATTCCAACTATAACCCGAGTCCCTTTAGTCATTAAAGGATAAGTAAATGAACTACAGTTGGAATGCACAAGTCTGGTCATCATTGTTTTCTAATTTTACTTTCTCTTTTCTAGCTTCTTCATGTATACATACTTCAGCAGGTGCCTCAGATCTTTTCTCAACATACCTGGCCAGGTGTCAGCAGTATCTGCACAGTGTTCCTGACGCATTGTGCCTGGAACTTCTAGAAAACATCTTCTCATTGCTCCTCATCACCTCTGCTGATCTCCACCCAGAGCCTCACCTGCCTGAGGACTATGCAGAGGAGGATGAGGTGGAGGGGAAGGGCCCCTTGGGCTTGAGGTCCCCATCGGAGAGCCCCCAGCACACAGCCCAGCCCGAGAAGAAGTCGGAACGAGGCTCCCTGGGTGGCACCAGGAGCTTTCTTTGTGCTGCATCAAACTGTGTGAAGGCAGAGCCAAAAGACAGCCACCCAGGGCCACTCAGCCACAGCTTTTTGGATCTCAAGCACTTTACCAGTGGGGTCAATGGATTCCTAGCCGATGAGTTTGCAATCGGGGCCTTCCTCCGGCTCCTTCAGGAACAGCTGGATGAGATCAGCAGCCACGACACCTTTGAGAAGCCAAAGACACACGAAGACCAGAGCTGCTGCGGAAGCAAGGAGGGACTGCAGAGCCGCCTGCACCACTTCTCCAAGGTTCTCTCCGAGGCCCAGTGGAGATACAAGGTGGTAACAAGCAACCAGAGCTCAGGTGAGAGCAAGGGAGCAGCACAGGTGGGTGCAAAAAGAGGGGAGGGAAGAAAATCCCAGGATTCTGGTGGAGGGCTGGAAGTGCATATGAGTAACACAACATAACCCAAGGACCTAGCATCATGGCAGCCAGTGGCAGCTGCCGCAGGGAGTCGCTCCATACCTCAGAGACCAGGGCACATCTCCTGTTTATGCCCCCTCAAGAGAGAGATGCCATCCAAGCTGACCACTCTCCTTGTGTCCCATTGGCCTTGTTCTTTCAGAGGAGCAGCCTTCCAGAAGATACCGGCCCATGGCTACACGGCACCCTAGTCTCCGCCGGGGTCGTCGGACCAGGAAGAGTCGGACAGGTAATCTGAAGAGCTCTCTGTACCTCGTTGCCATGCCCCATGCAAGGGCATATATCTGTGTGTGTGTGTGTATGTGTGTGTGTCATACTATAAATATCAAAACCTTCAACTTTTTTCATTTATTCTCTTTTGTACAAGGGTACTTCAAAGCATTCATGGAAAATTGAAATTTAAAAAAATCGTTTAGGGCCTGGCACAGTGGTCTGGTGCACCAGAGTCCCGTATGGGCACCTGTTTGCGTCCCGGGTGCTCCACTTCCTATCCAGCTCCCTGCTTGTGACCTGGGAAAGCAGTTGAGGATGGCCCAAAGCCTGAGGACCCTGCACCCATGTGGGAGACCTGGAAGAGGCTCCTGGCTTTGGATCTGCTCAGTTCCAGCCATTGCAGCCACTTAGGGTGTGAACCGGCAGATGGAAGATCTTTTCCTTTGTCTCCTTCTCTCTGTAAGTCCAACTTTCCAATAAAAATAAATACATCTTTAAAAAAAAATAGTTTAGCGATGAACTTTTGGTCATCATGTCCCCTATCAGAATACCTGCGCTTGATACCCAGCCCTAGCTCCTGATTTCAGCTTCCTGACGAAGTGGGCTGGTCCAAAACCAGGAGCCAGGAGCTTCCTCCAGGTTTCCCACATGGGTGTGGAAGCCTATGCACCTGGTCCATCCTCCGCTGCTTTCTCAGGCCATAAGCAGAGAGCTGGATTGGAAGTGGAGCAACCAGAACTCAACTGACTCCCACAAGGGATACCGGTGTTACAAGTGGAGGGTTAAGCTACTGTACTGTTGTACCAGCCCCTGCCTCCATGAACTTTTTGAAGTACCTTTATATGAAGAGGTATAGCAAATAATATATTGAGAATGGGTTTCTTTCACTTATCGTTTTGATGTTTGTTTAGTATTTCCATTATGATGTGTGCCTTGTTCATAATCAGTTTCCAGTTTTTTATTATTATGAACAGTACTATAGTAAATAACCTGTTACATGTCTATGCAAACTTAAATGAGAATAGATTAGGTTCCTAGCAGTAAATTGGTAGGTGAATGGTGCATAAATATTAAATATAGATAGATATTACCAAGATGCCTTGTAAAAGGTGGAACAATTTTTTATTTCTTAGCAGCTGGGTGTATGTGGTCACCTCTTTCCATATATATCCATCAATGAGTAATACCAGATTTTTAAAGTCATTGTCAGTATCATTAGCGCAATATTGCTGCAATATTGCTTTAGTACTTTTTTAGACTGATTTTTTGTTGTTGTTGTTACATTTGTTGGACCTGTATGTTTTGCTGTGAACTGTTTAATTATGTGTGAGGTCTATTTTCCTGTTGAGTTTTCTTGTCGCATTACAGTAAGGAAAATATTTTGTGATTGTGTGCTGTACTTTTTTTCTATTTTAGTTTTTTGCCCGTTGATGGGTTTTTCCTAAAGTTGTGTGATACAGGAAGGCTGTGCAGGAGTACAGTATTGAAGTTATAGATAATCACATTTCCATTAGATCTTTGGTGCCAATTTCTAAAGGATTAGAGTTTCATATGTGCTAAACGATAGTAAGTCTCTCAAACATGAAACATGATGCGTATTGCAAGCCTTTGTCTTTAAAGAATTTGTAATTCACCCACATAGCCAGAAAACAAGAAAAATGTACCATGAATGCAAACACTGTCTGAAAACAGAAAGAAAATCTCTTGGAGAACTTTATCACCTGGTTCCCACAAGTTAAGGAAACAGATTTCAGGAGGGAGTCGAAGCTTGACTCCAGCTGGAAGCTGAGTGGGCCCCAGCTAAGCAGCAACAAAAGAAACGTAGGAAGCCTCAAGCCTGGGTTGCTGCAGCTCTTGTTCTGTTGAGTTAATAAGTTTGGATTAGGGGCCAACACAGCCTTGGGACTCTGCACCTGTGTGGGAGACCTGGAAGAAGTTCCTGGTTTCCGGCTTCGGATCGGCATAGCATCGGCCGTTGCACTCACTTGGGGAGTGAATCATGGGACGGAAGATCTTCCTCTCTGTCTCTCCTCCTCTCTGTATATCTGACTTTGTAATAAAAATAAATAAATCTTAAAAAAAGAAGAAGAAGAAGAAGAAATAACTTGAAAATTGCCATGGTTCTCAGATTCCAACATTGGAAATCCTTGTTTAGGCTATGTCCAGTAAGCCCTGGGGCCATGTTCAATCTTCCCCTGGCCCTTGCTGGGAAAGGAGCAGTGAGTTTGTAGTCACCTGTTATTCTCTCATCTGCCTTGATCTTGGTCTTGAAGCCACTGTGACACTTCCTACACTCTGTAAAGACCTGGTGGCTGATTTTCTCTCTTCTTCCTAATACATCTAGGTGGCCGGGACAGAAATTCGAACCTATCCCTGGAAAGCACAAGCAGTGAGCTGAGCACAAGTACTTCAGGTATGGAGGGCCCACCTAGCTGCCGACTTAGAGCATCTTTGTCCTGAAACAGAAGTTTCACACACCAAGATATAAAAGCCAGGACTGAGCAGCTCATGCCTGTGCTCCAGTGGGCTGTGCGATAGGTGGCCTAAGAGATTTCAACTGAGAAAAAGAGAGAAGAAGGGTTATTTCACTCCCAGTGGAGTTACTCATGATCAGGGAGAAATGAAAATCACCAAAGATGGAAGCTGGCACTTAAGTCTTGTTTCCAAAAGCGATAGCATGGGTTTCTCCTTTATTTGGAGGAAAAGAAAAAGAAAAGAATGGAGACCCATTTAGAAGTTAGAGAAGATAAGGATTTGGCGGGAGATGGTCAGTAGTGTGATTTCTGCTCAACATGTATGACTTGCCAGTCACTCCTCCACATCCTCCTGTCCCAACAGAGGGTAGCCTCAACGCTGTGTCATGGCGGCATGAGCTGGACGGCCGGCTGCAGCCGCAGCCCCAGAGTTCCCTCATCCCCATGATGTTCTCCCCACCGGAGTCCCTGCTGGCCTCCTGCATCCTCCGCGAGAACTTCGCAGAAGCCTATCAGGTGAGAAAGAGAAGCCTCATCAGGCACTTGTCAGAGGAAAGATTGCCAAGTCCAGTCCCCTGCCAGGCTGTGGGTGCAGGGCGTCCCTGGAGCTCTGCGCATGTGCAGCCAGAGCTACGTGGGAGATCCCAGAGAGGGGGCGGCAGCATTGAGTCCAAGGGGGCCACTGTGCAGTCCGGGTCCTCAGCACTGGAGATGTAGACACGGAATCATTTCTGTTGTTTATACATAAGGTAAAAGAAACTATTCAGCTGCAATCCCACCACTTGAAACTCCTTCTCTGAACATACGCCTGTTTTTATAGGGCAAAAAAATAAACATGATACAGGCCATTTTCAGTGGTCAACAGACTCCCGTAAGAGAACTGACTTGAATCCCTGGCTCCTGGTTTGAGCCTGCCCCAGCCCTAAATGTTGCAGGCATTTGGGGAGCAAAGCAGTAAATGGAAGACCTCTCTCATATGTCTCTCTTCAAATGAAAAATAACCAAATGCCAATGTCTTTGGGGATTCCTGAGCCACCAGGTAGAAGCCTTTCGAGAGCTGTCTAGGCTGCCAAACTGCTTCTCCAGCGGTTGTGACAGTTTCTTCCGGAGGACTGATTTTGAAGCTCTATTGTTGTGGCAGCTATAATACAGTATTGTTACTACAATAGGAGATCGCTGGTAAAGGGAAACACTTTCTCATTTTGTACTGGCCATGTGTATTTCCTCTTAAACTGTACAACTTATTCTCTGCTGGGTGGGGCACTAATGGTCTTTCTTCTGCCATTTATCAAGGTTTTTTTTTTTTGTAGTTTGTTTGGTTTTTGCCTGATCTGTTTTTTTTTAACATTTCATGATCCCATTAGCCTACATAATAGATGTGGTTGGGCCACAGCTGTTCCTTCCTTAGACATACTCCTCCACTTCCGCTTGCAGGTGGTATTCATGTTCAACCTGAAGTCTTCGCCCAGCTGCGGAGAACTAATGTTCATGGAGCGCTACCAGGAGGTGATCCAGGAGCTGGCCCGGGTAGAACATAAGATTGAAAACAACAACTCAGACGGGGGCAGCAGTACCATTCGGAGAACTGGCAGTGGCCGTTCAACTCTGCAGGCCATTGGCAGTGCAGCGGCTGCAGGTCAGGTTGCCCTTACAGCCACACTGGGGGAAGGAGAGGGGAAGGGTCTGGGAGGGAGGGAAGAAATGTCCAAATCAGAGGATCTTCATGACCATAAACAGAAACCCAAAGTAGGAGACCTGTCCTGACAAGCAGCCATGTTGATGCATTCAGAGTGGTTTTCTATCTGCAAGCTACTTCTCCCTGTTCAGGGGGTTTGGGTGCCTGTCCCTCCAGTACACTTGTCCAGTGCTACCTGAACGGGAGGAGTGAATGCTGTTTCCACCCTATGTTTCAGTGGCCACCATTGCAACTTTTGGCATGTCGCTAGGAGTTTATTTTCTTCCCGGGTAATTCTACAGAGGCAAAGCAGATTGTTTTAATGTCTGTGTGTTAACACATATAACCTCAGTTCCCAAAGCTGACCAACTGCAGCAAAGATCTTCCTTTCCTGACGCATTGAAAGTGGCATCTGGTCCCAGCGTCTTCCTGGTCTGTTCACAGGGTCTGCAGGAGCTTGGTACCAGAATCCCACAGCCACCAGAATCCACCAATGCTCAAGTTCCTTATGTAAAATGATGTTGTATTTGGGTATAATCCATATACAACCTCCTGTTCTCTTAAATATCTGTAGCTTCCTTGTAATACCCGTATAAGTTTTTAGGAACTAGTAACAAGAAATGTCTGAATGTGTTCTTTTTTTTTTTAAGATTTTTTTAATTGGAAAAACAAATTTACAGAGAGGAAAGACTAAAAGCTTCCATCCACTGTGGGTTCACTCCTCAAGTGGCTGCAATGGCCAGAGTTGAGCCAATTCAAAGCCAGGAGCCAAGAGCTTCTTCTAGGTCTCTCATGCGGGTGCAGGGTCCCAAGGCTTTGGGCCATCCTCGACTGCTTTTCCAGGCCACAGGCAGGGAGCTGAATGGGAAGCTGGGCAGCCAGGACATGAACTGGCACCCATATGGAATCCCAGCATGTACAAAACAAGAACTTTAGCCATTAGGCTAACGTGCCAGGCCTATGTGTTCATTTTTTTTCCTTAATATTTTTATCCCATTGATTGTTGAGGTCACAAACGCTAAGCCCATAGATACAAGCAGTGGCTATATATCCTATTACCATCACACATTGTTGCTCATTCTCCTGGAAGTTGTCCATGCCTGTTCTAGAATATACTTGCACCCTATGTACTCTAATGTAAACAAGCTCTTCCAGCAAACACCATTAGCTGCCTCTTTTCTGATGGGAACACACGGTTCTTTCTTACACCTCCCTCCAAGTCCTTGCTCCTTATTTGGTTCTGGGGCTATCAGAGTGACCTATCCTGACAGGGCTAGGTAATTCCTTTTCCTACCCAAAGCAGGAGCCCGAGACATTCTAACCCTCTGCCTGTTATTCCTCTGCTCGGTGTCCAGGGATGGTATTTTACTCCATCTCTGACGTGACCGACAAGCTGCTGAGCACCTCCGGAGACCCGATCCCCACACTCCAAGAGGACTTCTGGCTGCGCACGGCTCTGTTGGAGCCCACTGCTCCCCTGCGAGAGGTGCTGGAGGACCTCAGCCCCCCTGCCATGGCTGCCTTTGACCTGGCTTGCTCTCAGTGCCAGCTGTGGAAAACCTGCAAGCAGCTTTTAGAAACAGCTGAGCGGCGCCTGAACCATAGCCTGGAGAGCCGGGGTGAGTGTGCGGGCCTGACCGTGTCCCCACTTCTCAAATGGGAGAGAGTTTCTGAGAGTGGCTAGCTTATGCCAAGAAGAAGGTGGTCACTGGGAGTAGGAGGACAAGGAGAAAGGACTGATCAGATTTCCTTGTGGTAGTATGAAGAAGATGAGTACCATTTTCTTTTTCTTTTTTAATATTATTTATTTGGAAGGCAGAGAGAGAGAGAAATCTTCTATCTGCTGGTTCACTCCCAAGATGGCAACAGCAGCCAGGACTGAGCCAGGCTGAAACCAGAAGCCGGGAGCTTCATCCTCTTCTCCTACAGGGCTCCAGGGGCCCAAGTTCTTGCACATTTCTCTGCTGCTTTCCCAGGCACTTTAACAGGGGGCTGGGTTGGCACTTTAACAGGGGGCTGGGTTGGAAGTAGATCAGCTGGAACTTCAACTGGCACCCATACAGGATGCTAGCTAGTGTTGCAGGCAAAGGACTAAGCCACTATACCATGACACTGGCCCCGTTTCCCTGCCCCCCCCCTACTTTCTGAATATTCATAGACAGCTACAGTGATTTGAGGAACCTGTTTTCCAGTGTGCACAGTAGTATAAGCATAGGATGTGTTCCAAATCAAGTTAGTGCGGTTTGTGCCTTTAGGCTATGCATCTTCTCTTCAGTAAACCTGAATTTAAAAAAAAAAAAAAAAAGTCTTGTTTGCCCGAGACAGCAATCCCACGGTGAGGCCAGAGAGTTTGAAACCATTCCAGCGCACAGGCTGGGATATCTTTTCAGAGGTGTAGTCCTGGGAACTCAAGCATCAAATAAGTCAGATTGCCACTCAAAATGCAGCATGTGTTTCCTCCTTAATATGGGAGAAGATACACTTACAGGCCACACAGCCAGTTAACTTGGCTTAGCACTTAACATAATTGTATTCCGTATTGGAATGCCTGAATCCCAATTCTGATTCCACTCCAGCTGGTTCTAGCTTCCTGCTGCTGCTGTGCACCCTGGGAGGCAACAGCTGGGGACCTGCCAGTCATATGGGACTAATACCGCATATCTGGCTCCCTGCCTCCATCCATCTCAGACACAGCCTCTATAGGCATTTTGAGAGAGAACCAGTGAATTACAATTCTCTGTCTCCCTGCTTCTCACATAAATAAACACATTTATTTTTAACAAAAAAGTAGAGCTGAATGTAAGTCTCCGAAAGTTATTTATTTATCTGTTTATTGCATGCCTTCTTCCTTCTCCTGTTTCCAGGTCGACGGCCAGACCATGTTCTCCTCGGTGTTGACGGCATTCGAGGGTTTCCACTTGTCCTTCAGCAAATCAGTAAGATTCTCAACTATCCACTTCTGTCAGCTGGACAAGCTAAGTCAGGTGAGTTGCTTTTCTCTCTTTCCCTGCCTCCCCTGGACTTGGAACATTGGGTCAGCAGCACGCCTGACTATCTTTCTCACTTTCCATAGAGAGCATAGAAGAAAAGGGAGGAAGCCCACCCCGGCACAGCATCACTGAGCTGCTGCAGATGTGCTGGCCCAGCCTCACTGAGGACTGTGTTGCCAGTCATACCACCCTGTCCCAGCAGCTGGATCAGGTCCTGCAGTCACTGAGAGAGGCGCTAGAGCTGCCAGGTACAGGGCTGTGGGCTTGGAGACAGGTATGCAAAGAAGGGCTGACCTGGGGAGGGGAAAGAGCAGAGAGCGAAGCAGCCGAAGGGGCAAAGGCTGAGGCCTAAACTGCACCACTCAGCCACCCTTCTCATTGGGCAGGGCATAGCCCGTGGCTTCACCCATCTCTCAGTGGAAAGGGTGGTTAACCCTCTATTTGCTGATTCATTGTACTCCACTCATGCAATATAAGAAATGTACCCAACAGGCTCAAGTCAGCCATCAATCAATAATTCCACCCAAAGAAGGGTGGAATCCACTGATCCACTTCAGAGGGTGCAAACAGAATTGTGCACTCAGATTTTCCAGAGTCGAACTTCCACCTGTCCAGGACACCCCTGTGGTTTTCTGACTGCTTTATAAGGGTGATTCCCCGGGATGGCATATGCAGCATATGAGAGGCCTGGTTCCCATACTGGGTCAGAAACTGACACATGGCTGGGTGCATAAATAACAGCTTGTGTCCTTTCTGTTGTAATTTCTCTCAGAGCCCAGGAGTCCTCCACTGTCTTCCCTGGTGGAGCAGGCAGCCCACAAAGCTCCGGATGCGGAGGCCCACCCCGTGCGTGTCCAGTCTCAGTTACTCCAGAAAACTTTGGGCAAACAGACCCAAGTGGGCAGCAGCCCAGCTGACTACGTGGGCACCTTCTTCACTTACTGCAGCACCCTGGCTGCTATTCTGCTTCGGAGTCTGAGCTCTGAGCCTGGTAAGGGGCATGAAGGTGGAAGTGCAGTCTTGGCTGAGCTGCAAACGTTTAGGGCAAGGGAGAGAAGGGTGCTTGATGAAGAGGTTCTGGATGCGGCACTAGCCAAGGACACTAGATTGGTAAGACCTCTAAGTCACTGGATAACATACAGAGTACTCAAAAGTTCTCATGGACTTGGGGATTAGAAAAGCTCTGTCAGACCCTGGGAGCCTTGTGGATTTGTGCACACAGCAGAGCAATGCACGCTCTAACAAGAGTGCTCGATTTTTCTGAATCCACAATGCAACTGTAGATTAAGTATCCCTAATCCAAAAATCCAAAATCTGGAATATTCCAAAATAGCAAACCTTTTGAGTTTGACAGTTTGATGCAATTAGTAGAAAATTCCCCATCTGACCTCATGGGATAAATCATAGTGAAACCACAGTTGCACTAAAAATATTATGACCAAGCAGGCAATTAGCCAACAGTTAAAACTCCAGTACCCCCTGGAGAAGCCTAGGTTTAATCCCCAACTCTGGCTCTGGATTCCAGCTTCCCAGCAATGCAGAGTCAGCAGGGCAGCAGGGATGGCTTGAGTACTTGGGTTCCTGGCACCCATGTGGGAAATGTGGCTTGCGATTCTAGCTTCTTGCTTTTGCCCCAGCCCAGCCCCAAACATATTGGGGCATTTGGAGAATGAATCATTGTCTATCTCTTTCTCTCTGTCTCTCAGATAAGATTTTTAAAATAGTTTTATCATTATTATTATTATTTATTTGTTGTTGTTGTTATTGGAAAGGCAGACTTACAGAGATAAGCAAAGACAGAGAGGGAAGTATGTTCCATCAACTGTTTCATTGCCAAAATGGCCGCAATGGCCAAAGCTGAGCTAATCCAAAGCCAGGAGCCTCTTCCGGGTCTCCCAGGTGTGTGCAGAGTCCCAAGTGTTTGGGCCATGCTCCTTTGTTTTCCCAGGCCATATGCAGGGAGCTAGAAGTGAAGTGGAACAGCTGGGACATGGACCAGGACCCATATGGATACCCATATCTCACACTTGAAGGTGGAGGATTAGCCTGCTGAGCCATGGTGCCAGCCTCTAAAAAAATTCTAAATAAATAGAAATATCATGTAAGATTACCTTGAGGCTATTCATATGGGAGAACTCCAAAAAGTTCTTTGGAAATTGAATTAAGAGAAGAATTTGGGACTAATGTGGTATCATAGCAGGCTAATCATCCACCTTAAACCCCAGCATCCCTTATGGGTGTTGTTTCAAGTCCTGGCTGCTCCACTTCCCATCATGTTCCCTGCTATTGGCCTGGGAGAACAGAGGATGGGCCAAAGCCTTGGGTCCCTGCACCCATGTAGAAGAACCAGAAGAAACTCCAGGCTGCCAGCTTCAGATCAGCCCACCTCTGGCCATTGCAGCCATCTGAGGAGTGAACAAGCCACTGGGTAGAAGATCTCTCTTGCTCTCACTCTCTCTCTGTAACACTTCCTTTTTTTTTTTTTTTAAGATTTAGTTATTTTTATTACAAAGTCAGATATACAGAGAGGAGGAGAGACAGAGAGGAAGATTTTCCGTCCAATGATTCACTCCCCAAGTAAGCGCAATGGCCGATACTGTGCCGATCCGAAGCTTGGAACCAGGAACCTCTTCTGGGTCTCCCACAGGGGTGCAGGGTCCCAAACCTTTGGGCCATCCTCGACTGTCTCTCCTCCTCTCTGTGTATCTGCCTTTCCAATAAAAATAAATAAATCTTAAGAAAAAAAAAAAGAGTTGAATTGTGCAAATCCTTACTTGCCTGCCACAGTTTGTGTTGGAAGCCTTTGGGCCACAATAAGGTGCATATGAACTCGTAGTCAGGGTCATGTCGAAAACACCCCCTGCATGTAATGAATCAACAGAAGGGCGGCTCTCAGTGTTGCCTTCACTTTGACACTGGTTTTTGCTTTCATTTTTGTTGATTCTGGGTAACAGAGTTCTTCACTGTCAAAATTGGTGCCATAAACACGTTCTCTACCTTTACAGATCATGTGGAGGTCAAGGTGGGAAACCCCTTTGTCCTGCTGCAGCAGAGCTCTTCCCAGCTGGTGTCACATCTCCTGCTGGAGAGACAAGTTCCTCCAAGCAGGTAGGAGGCTGCCCTCAGTGAGCTGGCCATGACCCCTCGGGGGTCCATCCGGGGAAGCCGAATGGGCCTGGCTGGGCGGGACTGGGTGAGGGGTCAACACAGAATGGGGGTTTCTTCCATACTTTGCCTGTAATTTGCTTCTGCCTCATTTTCTTGTCTGTCTCACCATCCCTAGCATTTTCATGGCAAGCAATGAATATGTGAATCTAAACATTGGGATAGGCAAAAATCCAAAACTTTGGCACTATCAGAATTGGTTATTCTGCACAGAGGCTAGCATCCTCAGAGATTGAATTGGTACAACCCCTGTTAAAATTGTAAACTCCTATGTCCGACACCTGCCAGTACACACTGGAAATTTTATTCTGCAGCGTGATTATAAGTGTGAAGTATGTGGAAAATCATTGTCTTATGGGCATGTGTCAGAACAATCCGTTGTCAGTCAAAAGGAGACAGTAATGGTTCATCTGTATCACAGAGTATTACATAGCTGCAAAAATTAATAAAGAGCCTCTTTGTGGAGGGATATGCTTGACTCTCCCAGATCTGTTCAGTGAAAGGGCCAGAGGATGTGTCCGGTAGGCTACCTTTTACAAGAACTGCTAAGAACGTTGTCATTGCCTTGTGGAAGTGTGGGGAAGTTGGATGATAAGGTGATGGTGCCTGGATGGTTGGACCTCATGCACCCTGTGCTTCATTCCCTTCAGGCTGGCGGCCCTTGTGGCTCGAGAAGGTCTCCACCTAAGTGTGCCACAGGTCATCGTCAACTACTGCTGTGAGCCCCTTACTCTTCGCCCTTCCCAGCAGAGCCAGCAGATGTCATCTGTCCTAACCCAGCTGGGCTTCCTGGCCCAGCAGCACTCCTCCCATTGCCTGGATGATCCTCTGCCTCCTCCCCTGAGCTCCCCAAGGCCCACCGAGCATCCCCCTGGGGAGAAAAAACCTCACTCCTCCCCAAAGGATTCAGCCTCATCGGCCCTCACCTCCTCTGCTTTAGCCTTCCTTAAGTCCCGCTCCAAGCTACTGGCTACAGTAGCCTGCCTGGGGGCCTCCCGGGGGTTAAAGGTCACCAAGCCCACCTTGTCCTGGAAGGAGCTTCGCGGTCGCAGGGAAGTGCCTCTGACTGCAGAGCAGGTAGCCCGGGAGTGTGAGCACCTTCTAGAACAATTCCCTATGCTTGAGGCCGCACTAATGATAGCCTGGGAGCCCCTCCTGGGGTCCTTGGAGCAGGGACAGAGTCTGGCAGCAAGTCTCTGTGGTCGGAGCAGCGTCTCCACTGTCCTCTTGGGCCTGCATTCTCCCCTGGCCTTGGATGTGCTCACCGAAGCCTTTGAGGAAGCCTTGGCAGCCAGTGATTGGCCCCGCGCCCTGCGGCTCACCGAAGCGTACGGGCGAGATGCAGATGATCTGAGCAGCATCGAGGATGCAGTGCTAAGCTGTGCTGCGGCCTGCGGTGAGTGGAAAGCTGTGCCTCCCGCCTCCTTCCCTAGAGCAACAGCATGCACCAAATCCAGCATTGCAGTTCATCCTCACAGTAACTCTAGAAAACAGCGCCACCATAGTCACATGTGACAGGGAGGAGCCAAGGGCTCAGAGAGATGAGGAAGCTTACCCAGGAAGGAGAGGTGGTAAAATGGGACTTGGAAAAGACTCAGGTTGAGAACCCAAGCCTGACTGTAAAATGAGCACTTGATCAATCACCAAAACTCAGCCAATTAACTCAAAATGCTCATGGAAAAGTGAAATTGAAAGGTAATCTCGGGGTGGGCATTTGTTGCAAAGATTAAGATGCTCCTTGGGATGCCCCATCCCACACAGGAGGGATGCCCCACCTCATGTTGGAAGGCCTGGGTTCAGGTTCTACCTCAGCTCCTAATTCCAGCTTCTGGGAAGTTATAAGTCATCACTCGAGTTTATGCCTCTTTGCTATCCACGTGGGAGACTCGAGTGGATTTCTGGGCTGCCAGCTTCAGCCTGAACCAGCCATAGCTCTTGCAAACATTGAAGGGATACAGCAGAAGACTTCTGTATGTCTCTCTGCCCTTCAGCTCAATAAAAATAGATGAATAAATGTTTTTAAAGATCAGTTTATGTTAGTACAAAGAATTGTGGGACCCATGCATAACAGGGCTATCGATAAAGTTTATGGAAGGTGTGCATTATGAAAAATGATATAAAGTTCCCAAACTTTTCTGCATTAAAGTGACCATTTCCATTTTTCCATGAACTGTCTGAAGCATCCTCTTAGTCTCAATCCTACATTTCAGAATCGCTGTGAAATTTCATAAACTACAGATAATCTAAGCTCCAGGCCCAGAGGATCAGGATGAGGTTCAGGTTCAAGCAAGTATTTAAAACAGGGATTTGCACACTTCTACTATCCAGGACTTAGTAGGCCAGATGGACTCAGTGGCAGCCACCCAAACTCTGCCATTATGCGTGAAAGCAGCCACAAGCACTACAGAAAGGGAAGAACATAGCTCTGCTCCAAAGAGGACATATAAGCAGACTGTGGGCATGATGGGCAGTCCCAGGAGATGCTGATGTAGAACCGGAGTGGAAGGCCAATGAGCTATAACACTCTACTAGGAGGGCAAGAGTAAGAGTGGGAGGCCTGGCTGCCCTCCGGAAAGAACATGCCTGCTGGAGTAGGCAACAAATCCACCAACCGGCATGTGATCGCTCCTGGAGCCAACTCCAAGAGCAGATTTCCGAAGTGGGTTATAAGAGATCTATGAAGTAGGGATGACAGGCTATCCAAGGGGTGAAACTAGTTTACCTAGGATAACATGCAGGTGGTTCCTAGGGGGCAAACAAGAGAAACTGCAGAGAAAACCAAAGTAGCAGCAAGGAGGGTGTGAATCGGTGCTATACCGGCAGCAAGACGAAATGCAGAGTGCCTCGTCGCTTCCTCCCTTCCTGCATTCCTTTTGATTGTGTTCCCCCTCTCCTTGTTCCTTCTTGCCTTCTCTCCCTTCTCAAAGCCCCCTGCCTTGTATTTACACAAAGGGAAACACAGGGGTTTTTTCTCCTTGGCATGTAACAGCCCCAAGTACAAAAGCAAGATAAGGCCATATGGATTGAAAGATCCTCCAAGCTCCTGTTTTGTGAAATGAAGCAGTCTTCTTCTTGAGGGTAAAAGAATTGACTGAAAATTTGAAAGGTAGATTTATAGAGAGCAAGGCAAAGAGAAAGAGAGACAGAGAGAGAGATCTTCTGTTTGCTGGCTCACTTCTCAAATGCCCACACCAGCTAGACCTGGACCATGCCAAAGCCAGGAGCTCCATCTGGGTCTCCCATGTGGGTGGCAAGAGCCCAATCATTTGGGCCACCTGCTGCTGCTTTCCCAGACACATTAGCAGAGAGCTAGATCAGAATCAGAGCAGCCAGATCTCTGAATACAAAATGCTGGTACCACAAATAGTTGAGTAATCCACTGTGCCACCTGCTAAAAAGTAACCCGAGGGAACCAGCATTGTAATGCAAGAAGTTAAGCCACCATCTGTAGTGTCAGCATTCTGCATGGTCACTGGTTTTAAGTCCTGGCTGTTCCATACCCAGTCTAACTCCCTGCAATTGCTGCTGGGAAAGCAGCAGAAGATGGCCCAAGTCATTGAGCCCCTGTAGCAACATGGGAACCCCCAAAGAAACTCAGGGACTCCTGAATTTGAACTGGCCTTTGAAGCCATTTAGGGAGTGACCCAGCTGAAACAAAATGTCTCTCCCTCCTCTTTCTCTGTAATTTCACCTTTCAAATAAGTAAATCTACCCAAAGAAAGAAGAAAGAACAAAGTAACTTGAGCTATCGAGCTTTACTGGCACCAACTTGGCTGCCACTGGGTATCTTTTGTCTTACAGACAAAGAAGGTTGGCAGTACCTGTTTGCTGTGAAGGACGCCTCCCTCAGGAGCCGGCTGGCCCTCCAGTTGGTGGACAGGTGGCCCCTGGAGTTCTGTCTGGAGATCCTGGCCTACTGCAGCTCAGACACAGCTGTTCAGGAGGGACTCAAGTGTGAGCTGCACAGGAAGCTGGCTGAGCTGCAGGTGTATCAGAAGGTGAGGCCTTGGGCCCGGAGCAGTGGCCTAGCAGCTAAAGTCCTTGCCTTGCACATGCTGAGATCCCATGTGGGCCCCAATGGGTGTCCTGGTGGCCCCTCTTCCCATCCATCTCCCTGCTTGTGACCTGGGAAAGCAGTTGAGGACGGTGCCCAAAGCCTTGGGACCCTGCAGCCGCATGGGAGACCCGGAAGAGGCTCCGGACTCCTGGATCAGCGCAGCTCCGGCCATTGAAGCCACTCAGGGAGTAAATCAGCAGACAAAAGATCTTCCTTTCTGTCTCTCCTCCTCTCAAATAAAAATAATTAAATCTTTTTTTAAAAAAAAAGAAGGTGAGGGCTAGGACACCAGGAGGATGGGAACAGCCTTCCCTCCCTCCCCCCTTATTCCAGCCTCAATCTCTTCTCATACCAGGGAGGATTTCAAGACACAAGAATTTTGCTCTGCATCTGACCTCTATGTCTGTTTCTTATGGTTTTAAATATGCTTGCTTTAGGCAGAGGTGAAAGTAGCAAAATTAACTTTGCTGTGCACAAATGCTGTTTCACGTGTGCATTTGAACTTTGTGCTTGTTATGTGTATTGTGTCTTTAAAAAAAATTATTGTATATATGCAGAGCCATTGTGAAAGGATTTCTGAAAGGGAAAGATTCCTCCAGGATATGTTTTGTAGATTTAATAGGAAGAGTTGTATAACATGCATGGAAGTTAGACTCATTTTTCCATGTGTCCATTCCACTAGAGACAGTGAAAATAGCAAGTGGAAAAAGTTTTCTTCTTTCTCAGTAGTTTGCATGCAGAGCTAAAGAGCTGCATGAAATGTGATTCCACAAGCAAAGAGAGTATCTGACGTGGATTTTGAGATGGGGGAGCATGGTACAAGTGACCTTAGAAGGTATGGAAGGGACTGGCATTGTGGCACAGTAAGCCATGAGACAACCTGCAGTGCCAGAATCTCATATAGGCACCTGTTCAAGTCCCAGCTGCTCCACTTCCAATTTGGCTTTCTTCTGATACACCTGGGAAAGCAGCAGAAGATGGCCCAAAGTAATTGAGCCTGATTTGGGCTGAGTTCTAGGCCCCTGGCTTTAGTCTATCCCAGTCTCAGCCATTGAAGCCATTTGGGAAATAAACCATCAGAGAAAAGATCTCTCCCTTCGCACCCCACTTCTCACTCTTTCTCTCTATAACTCTTCCTTTCAAATCAGTCAATCAAAGTCACCTACTCTCTTCCCTGCTTTTTGAGAAAATTTTGACATGCTCCATTTGAGGCAGAGCCCTTAGGGTGGCCTGGAGTGACACCAGGAATGACTGCCAGAGGGAAAAGTGGCAGTGGGGTCTGATGGGTTTGCCTGTCTTTTCTCAGATTCTGGCTTTGCAGACTCCCCCAGCGTGGAGCGACTGGCAGGCCTTGAGGAGCTGCTGTGTCGAGGATCCGTCAGCTGTCATGAACATGATTGTGGAGGCTCAGGTACCGTTTCCTCAGTGCTATGTAACGTCAACCTCTTTTCACAGCTGCAGCTCCTTAACTGGTTGTCTAGACCCCTTTCCTCCTAGCAGTGTCAACAAATTTTGCAGCAACTATACCACATTTAGTTAACCAGGTATGGGTGTGTAAAATTTAGCCACATAAGCATCAGTAGAAAAGATAATACAATTGACACTTATGCTGTTGTTCTGACATTCATGTCTAAGATTATCTATAGTGGGTATGGTAAATGCAGCCGGTGTCCTTAGAAGTGGAACTGCTGTGACACCGGGCAGCAGCATCCTTCCCTTGACCAAGAAGTTACCCAGTCGCTCTTAAAATTGTCCCAAAGATATTTTATCAAGTACCAAGAAAAACTGGAAATAGAAGATTTTGTTTCACTGGAAAAAAAAAAAAAAAAAACGTTCTGGTATAGGGGGTCTTCCAATCATGTAAAACACGTGTGATTAAAAAACTGCATGCATTTCATTTTTCCGTGTTGTTTTTTATTTAAATTAGTATAGTTATTAATGAATTTAAATATCGTCGCATGGGTGTTTTAGGCATCCAAGTGCACAGTCAGGTTTCACCTAGTTCAATGCAGATGCTCGTGCCAGTGTTTGCTCAGTGAGGAAGCATTTGCTGAAAGCCTGTTAGCTGCCAGTCACTCTGTGACGGTGGTGCAACAACGCTAACTAACCGCCTGCACTGAGTGACTCACATTTTGGGGAGAGAAGTGATATGGCACATATTTAGATGATTATAACATAATTAGAATCTTTAAAGAGTTCAAGGAAAGTGTATTTGCTGAAAAAACTGTATGAATTTCAGAATTTTTTTTTCCAAGCCAAACTTGTATTTTAATTCCACTTTCCCATGAACCTTTTGATATCCCCTCTTGCATCCAGTGACCGGAAAAGCCCAGATTGATGGAGCCCAGGATCAGCTGAGAACCACTGAGGCAGCCTAGGCAGTGTTGGAAGAGGGAAGGGGGAGCGGATTCCATACACCACCACAGTAGATATTAAACAGAACCCTGGGAATTCTGTTCTCCGATGTTGTAGTCCAGAGTTCACAAATAAGCGATAGGGGATCGCAGGTGGGGGCCATGGATGGAATGCAGCTCCCAGCATGTTTTTTGTCCATATGTTATTGGTCTATGGAAATGTAATTTTTACATATTAACTTCATTGCCAAAATTTTTTAATTAGAATTTTTTGCTTGTTTTTGAAAGATGTGTTGTTTATTTTTATTGGAAAGGCTGAGTTGCAGAGAGAGAAGGAGAGACAGGGTGCAGGATCTGAGGACTTCAGCCATCCACCACTGCTTTCCCAGGCAGTTAGCAGGGGGCTGGATCAGTACTGGAGCAGCCAGGACTTGAACCAGTGCCCACATGGGATACCAGCACCATAGGTGGAGGATTAGCTTGCTATAGCCAAAATTTTCTTGTAAAAGTCTGTGGCTATTGTCAGAGCTGAGTAGATGTTGTTTCTTGAAATAAGTTCTTCTGGTTTTTGTGTTTTGTTTTTAATATTTGCTTGAAAGCCAGAATTACAAAGAGGGAGAAGAAGAAGAGAGATTTCAGTCTCCAAATGGCTGTTAACAGCCAGGAGAATTTATCCAGATCTCCCATGTGGATGGCAGGGTTCCAGGCACTTGGACCATCTTGTGCTGCTTTCCCAGGTGTATGCATAGGGAGCTGGACTGGAAGCAGAGGTAGCTAAATCAGAACCAGCATGCACATAGGCTGCTGAGGTCACAGTCAGCAGCTTAACCCGCTGTGCCACAGTGCTGACCCCTCTCTTTCCCACTTCCTTAATAATCTCTTCAGTCTTTCCCACCAACTTAGGATGTCCCACAACTGGCTCCATATGTCATCTACTTTTCTTGGTTGTAGTAGACCCAAGAGGAAAGTAACCTAAGCCTGCTCCCATCATTGTTGTACTTTACTTTGCCAGTCTAGTCCTTTGAGTGAAGTTCCCACCAGCATTTCCCCAACACTCCCCAGGGCTGAGCAGTCCCTGGACTACTGTGAACAGTCAGTCAAAAACAGGCTGAATGACACGGCTGGTCATGTGAAGAGACTGAGATGAATGTGTTTCCTTCCAGGAATACGAACTGTGTGAGGAGTGGGGCTGCCTATACCCCATTCCAAGGGAAAGTTTAATCAGCTTGCATCAGAAGCATCTTCTCCACCTTCTCGAAAGAAGAAATCATGAAAAGGCTCGCCAAGTAAGCCTCTCATTCTTTCCATCTCTCTTTTGGGGAAGATCAAGAAGATGAGACACATCAGGTGTGGTTTTTTGCTTGTTCCATGCAGAACCACACACAAAGCATTCACGATCTCAGGTCTGTTCCCTCTGTGTCCATCAGGAGCTGGCTGTAATAACCTGACAGAAGGTGCCCTAGCCCTGCCTGAGATGCCAGGTGGGGCAGCTGGGTCATGACCTCAACAAGGCCATGGCTCATTTGTGAAGCTGCAGGGATGGTGAGATGAGTGTGGAGAAAGAATCCAAAGGGAATAAGACTAAATACAGTCACGTGGTACACAACTGAAGGAATATGTTCTGAACCAGATGTCAAATGATTTCATTCTTATGTGAACATCAGTGTGTACTTAAACAATCTGAGACAGCCACAGCGTCACGGAACAGCACAATCTTATGGGAAAGCTGCCATAAGTGTGGTTCATCACAGATAAAATTAGCATCATGTGGTACACGGCTGTGTTTCCTTTCTCAAGCAAAGCTAGGCTGGCCACTGAATTCCTCTGCCGGCCTCACCTTCCTCTCCTCATCTTCCCCTGCAACAGCTCCTGCAGAGAATCCCTGACCCCACTATGTGCCTTGAGGTCACCGAGCAAGCCCTCGACCAGCACCCTAGCCTGGCCACTTCCCACTTCTTGGCCAACTACCTCACCACACACTTCTATGGAGAACTGACTGCTGTGCGACACCGTGAAATCCAGGCGCTATATATGGGCTCCAAGGTGAGAAGGAAAATGGGGAAGTGGAACGCATGCTGGCTCCACTCCCATTGTAGAACATTCAGTAACTCTTGTTTGCCACCTGTCCTTCTCAGCCTGCACTATTCAGAATCTTCATCCTTGCAGTTCAGTGTGTGTGCGCTGAATCTCCTAGAAATGTGTCATTCTGTTGCTGCCTGCCCCCAGGGTGAACCTGACCTGGGCCTCTGATGGTGTCCTGGGGTTTTCCATGACATCTGCTGGATTAGTGCTTCCGACTCTGACAAGATATAGAATTGGCTGGACTTAAAAAAAATACCAGTAGCTGACCCTCACCCTAATCGATTAAAACTGGTCTTAACAATGGGAACTGACTGTCTTCCAAAGGGATTCTGATGTGAAGATTTAAAACTACCACTTGGCAAGTGAGTCTAATCTGATGGAAAGGAGTTCTGTCTAGTCATAGTTAAAGTTGGTACTCACTTCAGTACATAACCCTGGAGACACTAATAGAAGAAATTGAGAGTAAGAGAAAGTAATCCATGGAAGGAAGGTTGTGGAGAACTGGGCTCTCCAGCACTCTGCTAATTACTATTCTAACTAAACTGCTCCACAACTAGAGTCCTGGGAATGCCTTAAATATGTCCTCAGGTATCTTTGAAAAGAGATAAGCAACAAAACATTCCTAAGATTAGCTTTGTTTGTCTCTTTCCACACCCTGTTAACTAAATGAGAGAACTCTTGAAACTGCCAGTGAGCTGAGCCAGTGAGCATTTCAGCATGATTTCTAGAGAGAGATTAGATCCATCATTTGTCTGTGGGACATAGGAGTTGCCACCTCTGGCTAGCCCATTGGCATCCCAACTTGCATTGCTCATTTTCATTGAAGTGTCAACAAAATGGTAATGGTTAAGGTAGAACTGGTGACTCCAGGCCAGAGGTTAGCCAACTACTGTCCTTGGGCCAAATTCCATACTCGTCCTGTTTTTGTAAATCAAATTTTAATGGGAACATAGGTGCATTTATTCATTTATATATTTACTTTCATGATACAAGGGAAGAGTTGAATATTTGTGGCAGAGATCTTATCAGTCAGAAAGCCTCAAATATTTACTGTTTGACACTTCATAGGAAAAGTTTATGAATCTCAAGTTTCTTCTGACATTTGTGTGCCGTTTTCTTTTTCAAAAAAAATTTTTTTTCATATACTTACTTTATCTGTTTGAAAGGCGGAAAAGTGTAGAGAAAATTAGGGATCTCCTGGGCTGGGCCAGGCCAAAGCCAGGAGCTGGGAATTCAGTTCAGGTTCCCCATGTGGTTGGCAAGAACCCAAGTACTTGAGCCATCATCAGCTGTCTCCCAGGATGCCACTAAATAGGAAACTGGAATCAGGAAGAGAGATGAGACTCAAACCCAGACACCCCAGTATGGCATGTGGGCAGCCCAGTGTGTTAGCCACCACGTTAAATGTTCTTTATGTATCTACCCCTCAAATAGGTTCTGCTGACCCTACCTGAGCAGCACCGGGCCAGCTATTCCCACTTGTCCTCCAACCCCCTGCTCATGCTAGAGCAGCTGCTTATGAACATGAAAGTGGATTGGGCCACCGTGGCTGTGCAGACCCTTCACCAGCTGCTGACCAACCAGGAGATTGGCTTCACCATGGATGAGGTTGATTCACTGCTTTCCAGATATGCCAGAAAGGCACTGGACTTCCCATATCCTCTGAGGGAGAAACGATCAGGTACCTGCCAGCTTCCTGAATGTGGATTCTACACGGAGGAAACAATACCCTTCTTAGCTTTCATTTCCTCCCTTTTGGGGAGGGGAGGGAAGAGGGTAGGAATTGAGGTTGGTTGAGAATGAAAGGAATATGCTTCAGGAGAGAGGGCTGTTTGTATATAGGGAAGGTGTTGGTAGTGGAGAAAGGAGGCCAGACAGATTCAAGGAGGTTGATCTTACATTCCCTCTGCACACATGATGATGTGAAGTTTTGGGAAACAAGGCATCCTGGGAAAGGGCTCAGACCCTGATATGGTGAGCCCTTAAGCCTCACTTTCTATTCAGAGGTCACCATCTTCCCAAGGTCCCATCACACTTCACTTATACCTGAGCTGACTCGGCCTTGTTTGGAATGGAGAAAATAAAGCTCGCACAGAGTTCTGTTCCCAGATGATTCTTTCTCTAACTCTGTACCCTCCAGAGGGCCTTCCACTGCCCTTGCGCATTTCTGGATGCATTTTATAAAATTCTGGCACCTGCTTCATTATTTCATGGACCCAAGGTTTTTTTGTTTTGTTTTGTTTTGTTTTAAGAATTTACAAAATGTGCATGCTCTTGGCCTAGAAGTGCCTTTACTGAGCTCTTAAATCATGGTCTAACCATCAGGCAACGCGCCAGAGCTTGGAGCCAAGTGCCTAACATAGTGATTAAAGGTGCCTGTGGTAGGACGATGTTTGGTCAGCATCTTCCCTCCCTGCAGATTCTGTGATTCACCTCCAGGAAATGGTCCATCAGGCCTCAGACCCCGAAACCCTGTCTAGATCGTCATCAACAGAGTTCTCTCCTGCTGCTGGTCCTGGTAAGAAGTGGCTTTGAGAAATGCCAATCCGTGATGCACTTTGGTTTGATTTTCTGATTCTTGTGTTTCTTTTTTTCATTTCCATTTATAACACTTATTATCTATCTCACGTCTTAGTTCATTTCAGCTTTGTGTCTCCCAGGAGATTCAACAGTCATTTGTTAAGTCTTGCTGTAGTTGTATGCCCATAAACATAAATTGTATGCCATAAGACTTGCTTTATGTATGCCCGTAAAATCTCTACAGACACAATTAACAAATCCTGAATATTGCCCATGGGAGAAATATGTACACACACATGTATGATTCATGTAGATTATAGACACAAGTCATCCTAGCAGATTCTACAAGAGTACCTCAAAACGTTCATAGACACATAGAATTACAAGATAATAAACTTATTTTTCTTGCAAAAAAAATATTGAAAAGCACAGTTTTTTGCAATTGACTTTTTTTGGGGCGTGGTAAACTTTTGAAAACCTCACGTATGTGTGGGTTTCAATTTTTTTCCTTAGTTAAACCTTTTAATTCCATTCACAAATGTTTTGAAGTACCCTCATTTTTCTTTATTTTACAAAAGAGAAACACATCTGGAAGTGACACATAAGGTGAATGCTGGGCACAGCAGTTGGTTATGCCACTTGAGGCACTTGCATTCCTTATGGAAGTGCCCGAATCCGAGGCCCAGCTTAATTTCTGATTTTAGCTTTCTATTGGAATGCGCCTCAGGAGTCAAGTGGTTCGATTGCTGCCATCCATGTAGGAGACCCAGACTGAACTCCTGGCTTCACCATGCCTTGGCAACAGCTGGTGTGGGCATTTGGAATATGAACCAGAACATAGAAGATCTCTGTGTCTGCCATTTGCTCTCTCTCTCCCTTTCAATGAAAAACAAATTATTGTTTTTAAATAAATGATTTGTGAAATCTAATCATGAGGACAGCTGCAAATAGCTCCCGTATTCATGCCATTATACATGCAAGATGTGAGCCCCTTGAAGGCCTCCACCAGATCTAAGTCACCCTTTGTACCATCACTGCCCCACAGGTGGACACACACCCATCTCTAGCCCCCTCCACAGTGGCCTTCCTTCAGGAGAACCACAGCAAGTCTTTGTTTTGCCAGTTGGTCAGATGGGCAAGAATTGCGTTTCCTTTCTGGGTGTTGCTAAGAAACACTATGTACAAATTCACTTCTTGTTTTCTGTGATAATCAGCATTGCTCTGCTAGGTTACAAAACAGTTCCTTAGATACCAAAAAGCAAAGACTGGCATTCCCTGCTCATGCTTTGTTAATCCACAATATTTCATATACCTGAGCTCAGGTAGCCATGGGTTGTTGTGTGTGTCTGTGCAACATATGAGTATGTGTGTGTGTGTGTGTGTGTAAGCTTTAAAACAATAATAAAGATTTGTTTATTTTTATTGGAAGGGCAGATTTCCAGAGAGGAGAGACAGAAATATCTTCCATCCACTGGTTCATTCCCCAAATGGCCACAACAGCCAGAGCTGAGCTGAGCTGAAACCAGGAGACAGGAGTTTGCTCTGGGTTTCCCACATGGGTGCAGGGACCCAAGGTCTTATGCCATAGCCCTCCCCATATATGTATAAGCTTTTACTAGTAATGGAATTTTATGATTCATAGAAGAAAATATAGTGGCAGCTCACAGTTATCTCCTAACTACAGTAACTGCCTTCTCATTGTCTTGATGACCATTCTTATTTCAACTGTAAGCTTAACCTGTTGGATTAGTTTGAATTAAATCCCAGATATCATTTCATTTGTAAACAGTTTAGTGGGAACTTCTAAAAGATAAAGACTATTTACAAAACAAAACTGAACTACCGTTATCATTGCTCAGAACCAATTGGTAACAAACCTCATTACTATGAAATATCCAGTCAGTATTCACATTTCCCCAGCTGTTTAACTCACGAAGATTTTTCTGCAATTCTATTTTCCAGACTCAGGATCTAAGTAATATCTAAACATAGCATTTGGCTATCAAAATCTCTTTTAATCTCTTTTTTTATCCACCCCACCTCCTTTAGGGTTGTGGGGGAAACCAGGTCATTTGCCCTGTAGAGCTTTCCACACGTGGTTATTGCCTTATGGCAATCTGGGTCCCTGCTAGTCAGATCGGAAAACCTGACTTAACTCAAGACTAAGACTCTGTGTTAAGCACATTGGAGAGATGATGTCTGTTCCCATCAGGAGGCATGTAGCTGTGAGCAGCCAGTCGTGACTGTTACCTGCATCTACTAATTCAGGAGGGGGTTATAAAATGATGACATTCCAGGCCTGGTGTGATAGCTCAGTGGCTAAATCTTACCTAGCAAGTGCCAGCATCCCATATGGGTGCCAGTTCCTGCCCCAGCTGCTCCACTTGCCATCTGGCTCCCTGCTTGTGGCCTGGGAAAGCAGTAGAGAATGGCCCAAATCCTTGGGAACCTGCATCTGCATGGCTTCTGGCTCCTGGCTTCAGATCAGCTCAGCTCTGGCCATTGTGGCTATTTGGGGAGTAAACCACCTGTCTCTCCTTTTCTCCATAAATCTAATCTACCTTTCCAATAAAAATAAATAAATCTAAAAGAAAAATAAAAAGCTCACACTCTGTCCTCCCCCCTCAGCTGGGAGCTGGTATACTGATGCCCTTCTGCTCTGCCCTCTGGCTTCCAGGCATCTCCGTGGTGCGTTCCCCTAGTCCCAGGGAAAGGAGTCTTCCACAGAGTCAGCCCCCACAAGAATTTGTGCCTCCATCCATGCCCCCTGCCCGGGATCAGTGGGTTCCAGATGACACTGAGAGCATCTGTATGGTCTGCCACAGGGAGCATTTCACCATGGTAAGTGGCACCCAGTCCCTAGCAGGGACCTGCTATAGGTCCTGAGCCATGGTTTACAGCCACCTCCCATTCCAGAAAGTATAGTGGTATCGCCAACAAAACTACCTACCCAAAGCCTTTGGCCTGACCAGAACATATTCTCAGGATTCCGAAAAGTGCTAAACATCCTCAGATAGTCTCAAATCCTCAAGTCTTTGCCATTGTTATGAGACAATGAGAAAAAAGCAGGAGTGGTCTGAGGATCTTGTTTGTAGCTCCTATGTCTTCACAATAATGGAAAAGACCCTGCTAGTGGTTAGGGGCACAGGCACCAGAGACAGAGGACAAAGACAGCAGGCTCAGCCTGCTAATAAGATGAGTGCCAGCTGTTTTGTCTCATATGCTTGCTGGTAAACTAGGGATAATGAACGTATTAGTTATCTCATGAAACTGTTAACAGTAATTAATGTTGCTGTAGTTAGTAGCAGTGAAGGAATTCCTCGGTACCTATTTCCTCCTATTCTGTGAGAGATGCAAAATCTGTCAGCCTCTTACCACTAAATGAGGCAGTACCTACTGAAGCATTTTGCAAAAGGCCACTGAGTCATCATCATCGGTGCCATGTAAAAACGTGATCCTCCCTGGCTGAGAAAGTCACTTGTTCTCCACTGATTTTTGCTGTGTCACCACACGTTGCCTTCCTCATACAAGTGAAGCTTGTCAGGAGTCATTGCAAAATCACCCATGACTTTGGCACATTTGCTGTCACCCAAGAGATACCTTAAAATGCCAATCTCCCTTAAGGTTGAGAACCAAATGTTCTTTTTCGGTAAGGCCCCATGCACGTCCTAAGCTACAGGTGACGAGTACCAAGTGTAAATGGGTGGATGGCAGTGTCCTCAGAGATCTGCAATGTCACCGTCTCTCCTTTCTCTTCCCTGTGGCCGGCCTCAGTTTAACAGGCGACACCATTGTCGCCGCTGTGGCCGGCTGGTGTGCAGTTCCTGTTCCACTAAGAAGATGGTGGTGGAAGGCTGCCGAGAGAACCCTGCTCGTGTGTGTGACCAGTGCTACAGTTACTACCACAAGGAGTGAGTGTCCCACACCAGAGTGTTACTGTTGGTGACCGTTGCTCCCTCCCCCTGGGCCCTTACACTCCCAGAAGTCTCACTATGGAAAGCGTTTCAAATGTGAAACACTCCCCAAATGGTCTAATATCCACAATAGATCCCCATTCTGCAGTGTCTGTAGACCAAGCTTGGGGAGGGAAACCACTAAGAGAGGAAGTGGTATTCTGAGTTCTTACATGAAGTTCCCTCTGAAACCAAGCCACGGGGTTCTTCAGCGCTCCCCCAAGCTGGAGTCACGAGCATGAGTTTACCCATTCACCTATTTTCTGTCCTCTCTGGCTTCAGTTGGCCTCGGCTGGACCCAAGGGCTTCCCCCCTCTGAGTGCTTGGACGGCAACTGCGTCTGCTTCAGGCTGGATTGTCATCCTGGCTTATCAGCCAGGATTCAGAGAGCCCTACCTTCCCTGCTCAGAGTCCACTGGAGACACACTTTGCAGATGCTCACTCCTCTGGCTGAGCAGACCAACACCGTGTCTGCTGGCTCAGTGTTGCTCAGGTGTTTCCAAGGAATGTGAATCTAGGTCTTGCAGAACATCTGGGAACATAGGCCAAAGCAACCATCCAGAAACAAAACTGGTTTGGATTCTCCATGTGTTGTTTACAAATTTGAGATGTTATATCCTGCTCAATGTAGCATGTTCTCTTTCAGTTTTTTCCTTACTTTATTTGAAAGACAAAGAGACAAAGATCTTCCATCTGCTGGCTCTCCAAATGCCCACTGCAGCTGGGGTTGGACCAGGCTAAAGCCAAGAGCCAAAAACTCAATCTGGGTCTCCTATATAGGTGGCAGAGATCCAAGTATACCTGCTGCCTCTTGGGGTGCACATCAGCAGGAAGCTAGATTGGAGGTTCAGGTGGGATTCAAACCCTGGCACTTTGATGTGGGAGGCAGAACTCACAGAAGGCCTGTTAACCACTGTACCAAATGGCCAAACCCCCTTGTATGTTTTAATATGAACATTTTTGGTAGCATTTATCATGATAATTACTAATATCATAGAAAGGAAGACATATCAAGCTAGTGCTATGGTTTCTATGACTCTGACTTCCGCTGCCTCCATCCCTTGGACGGAGACAGCAAGTATCCCCACACAATATCGCTGAGATTTTCTAAATGTGCAATTAGTATAACTAGTATTGATGGGGATTCTTTCAGCAACAATCACTCAATAAGGGTCACTTTATCCTCAAGGTGCCACTATCTTAATGGGAAGACATCCTACAGACAGACCAGTAGGCATTTGAAGAGGTGCAGTGGAGAGGCACATACACATTGTGATCAAGGGAAAAGTATTCAAAGATGGGCCTTAAAGGATGAGGCGTTCATCAATAAGAAGATAAAAAAAAGAGAGTATGGCCAGAGGTGGGAGGAACATCTGCAAAGATAGGGACAGGAACAGATGCAGGTTGTTTCAGGAGCAGTGAATAAGCAGTTGGTAGGCTAATGATCTGTTCAGCAGACACTTTACTCGGCTGCAAGTAGCTAAGCTGGGAAGACCTAGGCAATGGCACAGAGACTTGAGGCTTGCACTGGTGTCAGGTGCTCACATTGCCTCATAGGTCTCTCATGCAGGTAATTGGCCTGGGCTCTGGTTTGTGACACAGGAGTTTGGCATGGGTGGCATCAACTGAAGCTGACCACAGCCTATGAGAAGTAGATAAGAGTTTAATAGGTTGAGTACAGCTTAGGGGTGGCGTAATATAGCCTCAAGAGGCAACCAAACCAAGGCTTTGTCTACTGAACTTACCCAAAGGCGCTACCAAGGGATTATAAGCAAGTATAGAATGCAACTAGATTGGCATTATTCGAAGTTTGCTGCAGCACCAGAGTTGAGTGTTACTGGAGGTCAGGAGACGAGCTGGGAAGCTATCACATCTTCTAGCAGTAAATCATGAGGGCCCTCTTGGAGGCAGGGTCAAAGCAAGATGGGAAGATTAAAAATTATTTTTCGGAGACAGAAAGCACGGAACTTGATCAGGGAGAGAAAAGATTCACAGAAGAGCCTGTGGATACTTCACTCAAACAGCAGTACATTTCAGTGCTGGACACTCAGAAGACCAAAGAGAAGTGATTCAAGCGTTCATTCATTCTTTCTATTTCCAGTGCACCTGAGGAGAACCCAAGCCAGCCAGAAGGTGAGACTACATCTCATTCTCTCTGGTTCTTTGTTTATGGGGAAGGTTCTGCCCATGGGTCATACTAGGCCCGCGAAATCCTCCACTCTGACCCTGCCAAGGCAACGGCAGACAGGCCTTGAAATGCCAGAAATCTATAGCCAACTAATGTGTAAGCTAATGTGTATGGCTTGCAGATGATGTTAGAAATATCCAAATGCCCTTGGCAGAAAAAGCTTCCCCACCCCTGGTTTGTGTACTCAGGCTGGCTCTGCCTTCAGTGTGTCTGCTGCAACTGGCACTCTCTTCGGCAGATCTCTCCAACGTGCTTGCCAAAAAATTCTCTGCCTGTTTCCTCTCAACATTAATCATATTCACCTGTTGCAGGGACTTATTTGTCCTTAACAGACAAGTTGGTCCTTAACATCTAGTAGATTGTTTTTCTTTTTATTCCCTCTGATCCTTTTCACCACCATCCTGCATCCCAATATTCTGCCCCTTCCTTTGGTTGATCCCTCAGGGTGGCAGTTTGACCTGTATCCTTCTGCAGCAGGTTGCTTTTTAATATACATATTTATATAATTTTTTTTTTTTGCTTGAAAGAGTGATAAGGAGGAACAGAGAGAGATCATCTATCCACTCCCCAAATGGGTGCCAGAACTGGACTAGTCTGCAATTAGGAGCCAGGAGCCTCTTCCAGGTCTCCCACATGGATGCAGGGTCCCAAGGCTTTGGGCCGTCCTGTGTTGCTTTCCCAGGCCACAGGCAGGGAGCTGGATGGGAAGTGGAGCAACCAGGACTTAAACTGCCAGCCTTATGGGATCCTGGCAGTGTAGGTGGATTAGTCTGCTACACTGCCATGCTGGCCCCAGAACATGTTACATTTTAAGGGTACCCAGTGGTCCTACTGTCCATTTAGAAAGCCTGCACTTTTCAGGGTTTCCCAGGTGATGCAACAGGGTGACCAACACTAGAACTCTTGCCTGGGGAAGGAAGTTTGCTGTGCCTGGAGAGCTCTCCCATGGGAAACCAAGGAGACCAAGGAAGAAAAATGTGGCCCTGAGGTAGCAGGGAGAGCTCTGCCTGCAGCTCATGTCAAACCACTGCTTGGGCCTAGACTGAAGCACCCCTGGGTGACTGCTGTTTGAATGGCAATTCTGCTGTCTTCTCAGCACCAGACAATTCCCAGCACGAAAGCCCGCCGTACTCAGCTGTAGTGAGAGTCCCCAAAGCGGCTGAGGTGGAATGGATTCTGAATCTCAACGAAGAGGAAAACGAGCTGGTGCGGAGTGAATTTTACTACGAGCAGGTAAGAGCACTTAAGTCTCTGACGTCCCTTCTGATGTATAACAGGAGAGACGGGGGTGGGGGAGCACAGCCTGGCCCTCCGCACGCACTTACAGCCCAGTCACGTGGGAGCTAAGAGGAGGCCAGTGAAGGCCACAAACAGGAGCATGTAGGGAAATGCGGAAGTGGGGGTCAGGAAAGGCTTCCCAGAAGAAGGGGCACCAAAGCCTTGGAAGAAGGGCAGGTGTGTGACGGGAGAAGCTTGGGTTTGTGAGGAGCGTTAAGGGGAAGGACATAAGAGTACAGGACAAGGAGCAGGTGTTTAACTTAGCAGTGAAGACACCAGTGAAGATACTTGCACCGCATGTCAGGGCGCCTTGGTTTGGTTCTCAGCTCCACCTGCTGACTTTAGCTTCCCATGCAAAGAGGCAGTCATAATGGCCTGAGTTCTCACCCCTGTGGGAGACCTGGATTGAAGTTCTAGCTCTGGCTCTAACCCATCCCCAACCCCAGCCTTAGTGGACATTTGGTGGGGCAAATCAGCAATAGGGGATTTCTCTCTGTGTCTCTCTGCCTCCCCAAAACAGAAAAATAAAATGTTAGAGCATAGCTGAGGGATTAGGCCTTGTTTAAGGTGGGGGAAACAGAACATTTCAAGAAGGGTAATAAAACGTAGGCTTGAGAAGGCCTGCTCTGATATATTTGGCCTTGAATTCTGCAGTAAGGAATACCTGCTTGGAAGGTGGCCAGGACCTGCAGGAGGTTTCCAGGTGAGCTTTAAGAATAGTAATTTAGCAGCAGTGCGTCTGGGGCCTGAAGCAGAGACTTCTCCAAGTGGTCAGATGAGCAGGGTGACTGTTGGGGTCTACACCGGCAGTAAGGAAGGCTTGTGCTGTTGGAACAGGGACCGTGAAAAGGAGGAGACCTGTGCACATTCTGAATGTGCTGGGAGTACGTTGACAGGATACTTGCTGCTGTCCAGATGCTTGGGTCCCTGGAGTCACTGTGTGGTTTCCCCTCCTCCCGCTGCGACCAGGCCCCCAGTGCATCCTTGTGCATTGCCATCCTGAACCTGCACCGGGACAGCGTCGCCTGCGGTCACCAGCTGATCGAGCACTGCTGCAGGCTGTCCAAGGGCCTCGCCAACCCCGAGGTGGACGCAGGGCTGCTCACCGACATCATGAAGCAGCTGCTCTTCAGCGCCAAGATGATGTTTGTCAAGGCCGGCAGGAGCCAGGACCTGGCTCTCTGTGACAGGTGCGTGGCAATGAGACCCCATGCATTTCTGCTCCCCATCCTGACACAACGTGCAGAAACATCTTGCACATCGTAATCATGCAGGTGAACCGCTGTGATCCGATAACAAGGGACCTTCTGCCCTTTCCGCAGCCTGCATCCTTCTTCACAGGAGACTTTATTTTTGGAACAGACTCTCACCAGGTCCACCCTGCAAGGAAAAAAAAAAGACTTTGGATACTTTGACATTAAAATCCATTTAGAGGAATGCCTCTAGGGTTTGTAGAACTTTATGGCTTTTAAAGAAAATGCGTCCACCCCGAATCCCCAATAATCAAGTTTGCTCAAACTCTGTTCCATCTTGGCCTTGGTCCCAGGATATTCTGGATTTTAGATCTATAAAAGCATGTTGGGGAGTGGTCTGTCCCTGGTAGAAATCTGAGTCACACAGTGGAAGCTCCCCTGGGAAAGGTTTGAGTAGGCCTCCTGCAGGCTCCTGCACGGCCAGCTCGGCTGCCGCTCATTCATTAACTTAGGTGTGAGCTCCAATTCCCTGCTTACCCACCCAGGTTGGTGACTCAGCCTTGGGAGCAGGGAATGTCATACTCTTTGAAATGTAAATGCCTCCCTTGGGAGTTACCTACAGATCCGCCTGGCAGCTTGGAATGCAGGAAACCCCAGCTTCACCACGTTCTACCTCTGTAATCTTGGACAAGACTATGACCCCCCTTTGGGTCTCCGGTTCCTCCTCTATAAAAAGGGGTGAAAATAATGGGCTGATGTGAGAATGAAATGAGCTCATCCACACAAAGGGCTAAGAGCTGAGCCCAGGACGTTGTGGGGTGTAAGAGAGATCACACCAGGCAAGTCTAGGAGTAAAGGAGTGTTTATTAACCAACCTTGGTGATGGCAGGGCCCACTAGATATTAGCAGATGACAAGTCCATGTGGCAATCCAGTATGAATCAAAAAATCCTGAGAGGAACAAATGGTCATTACCATGAAATCGATCCATTGAACTGAAGACCTGTGTCCCAGTTCCCCAGCTGTGTAAGTGATCCTGAGAAACATGTAGCAAACAACCTGGACATGCTTTTAAAGCTGCAAGCATTCACCTTTCCCTGGCTTCTCTGTCCACACTCCATTACTGCTAGGCCTCATCCCTATTAGAACTCTTGAAAGTACACAAATTAGAAATACAAAGCATCTTAGCATTTGCATCTTCACTGACTTACCTGAGCAATGAACGGAGGGTGAGGAATACAGACACACAGGGGCCATGCCCTGGAGCTACCTGAACCTTGGAGTCTGTCCATGGGAAGCCAGAGAGCAAGCAGGTACTGGGGAGTAAAAGAGCTGTGCAAGCATGCAACCGAGAGCCCCTCCTTATCTAGGGCCTTTATGGGGGCTTGCGAGGGGAATAGTTACGCCCCAGTGCAATAGCACCCCCTCTCGGGCTCCAAGGGAGAGCAACACAGGTGGGTAAGAAGGACCACATAGGTGGGGGAGGCGTGGCTTCCAAGCTCATGACCCTGAACTGGCTGCCTAAGACCACAGCAGCGTACCATGCACCCTCAAAATTTAGTAATCTTTACTAACAAAAATGAAAAGTCTGCGAAAGGCAAAAGGGCATGGAACAGAAAATGGAAGGAAATGAAGAAGAATTTATGACACTTAAGAAACTATAGGTAATATATCATGTTTTAAATCAATAAATGAGTAAATATATGCTAAGTCAAAGTTTCTAAATAAGCATGAAAAGCACCAAAAACCTAACAATTACCAGAAAGGAATGGAAAGAAAGAAAAAAATAGAAACGTGTCCATATAATAAAAGCTGGATTTAAGGCAAAGAGAAAAATAAGTCCAAATACATTTCAGATGTCAAACATATTAAGTCAGGTAAAATCTATTTGTCAAAAGAAAATGGATCTTCTGATCAAAAGAACACAGATTTAACATCAAGTCCTATAAATACCTTCTTTCAAAGTCAAATTTAAAGGGAGGAACTACTGGCTTATAGCTGCAGGTGGCAGAAATGAAGGAAGTTAGCACTTCAGTAGGGTTCTGCTCACAGCACAGTATCCTGGTTCCCTGAGCATTTACAGCAGTGGTACCACATTATATATTTCTCTCAATCCCTGGATTTACCTATACCTACAATATCTCAATTTTTGTGTGAATTTGCTGATGTGTGGTGATTTATCTCAAATGCATATGGCATGAATATTTGGCAAGAGCTCCTGGTTTGTATGTTTTTTTTTGTTGTTTGTTTATGCAACTTTCTGGTACACAAACGACTGGTAAGTTTAAAAAGAAAAGATATACCATTCTGTGTTAAATATTTTCATTTTCCAAAAGCACAAATATGCTGTGGTATATTGAATTTACTTTCCTGGGCTGTATTGTCTTCTATGCCATTAGGTTAAAATCACTAAAGGCAGCTGTTGTGGCGCAGCGAGTTAAGCTGCTGCTTGGGATGCCCACATCCCATGTCAAAGTACCCTGGGTTCAAGTCTGGTTCCAGTTCTGATCTGGTTTCCTGCTATTGCACCCAGCATAATCACTAAAGCAGAGAACCACTTTCCCGAGAAATGGGTAGACAAATCAGGATCCACACAGGGTTGGGTTACAATTATCGCACAAGATTTAGGAACCTTGGTTGCAGGCTTGTCTCAGGAAACACTTAGAAGGACTTAGCCTTCTGGCTGCTCTGCAGAACCATCAGAAGTAGTCCTAGTGGGTTATAAAGAAGACGGATGCTTAGCCCAGGGAGAGGATGAGGAGACCAGTATCTGAGTGAAGGGCCAGGATGTTCCTACCCGGCAGCATGGCCAGGGCTTCTGTACCAACCAGAAGCAGAGACCATTGGTACCGAATCTAAGTGTTCTCAAGCAAGCAAGTTGCAAGGAGCTAAGAAGCGTAAGAGTCATCATGTTAAGTCCCCAGGATCCACTGTGAAGGCCTTGTGTCAAATGGAAACCCCACTGAGGGCATCCCTACCACAAACACTATACTCTAATAGCTAACAAGAGCCCCAAAATTTCCAGACACTGTGCTGCACCCTTTTACTTGGAATATTTCATTTTTCACTCCTTGAAATTCCCTATTATTGGGCCCATTTTAAAGAAGAGAGAGTTGAGACAGAGCAAGCTTAACTAACCTGTCCTGGGTCACAGAACTGCTCAGTGGAGGAGCTGGAAGTCAGAAGTGTAATTTCAGAATCTTCACTCACAGTGTGTATGCTCTACACCTGTCAATTCTCACAGTCGGTGTCCGCACAGGAAGTGATACAGAAGACCTTGAAGCAGCAACCTATCTTGGTAACACTCGGTGGTGCTCATTGCCCTTTTCTCCCACTACAGCTATATCAGCAAGGTCGACGTGCTGAGTATCTTGGTTGCGGCTGCCTATCGCCACGTGCCGTCGCTGGAGCAGATCTTACAGCCAGCTGCGGTCACCAGGCTGAGGAACCAGCTTTTGGAGGCTGAGTACTACCAACTGGGTGTTGAGGTGAGGCAAAGACAAAACGTTCCCGAATTGCAGAGAGCTAGCTGCCTCTGATCAGCCTTGCAGACAGATACTGCCATCTCTCACGGGCCTGATTCCAGAAGGTATTGAGAGCACAACCAGTGTGCGGGTGGGAGGCAGGGGGATGGCCAAAAGGGGGAAGCAGTTAGGTTATTGGCAGCAAGGAGATAGGATGGGCCTTCGGGACACGCCAGCCTGGGTGCAGATACTTCACACCAAAACGAGCCATTCTTCCTCCAGGTCTCCACAAAAACTGGACTTGATTCTGCTGGGGCGTGGCATGCTTGGGGCATGGCATGTCTCAAAGCCGGGAACCTCGCTGCTGCTCGGGAGAAGTTCAGTCGCTGTCTGAAGCCACCTTTGGACCTCAATCAGCTGAGTCATGGCTCAAGGCTGGTTCAGGATGTGGTTGAATACCTGGAGTCCACAGTGAGGCCCCTCATAGCCCTGGTAAGAGCAAAGCAGAGAGAATACACAGCCCTGGGAGAGAGACCCAGGAGCAGTAATGACCTGGGGAAAGGAACAGCTTACACACAGCCGGCAGTGTGGGTCCTGGCTCAGAGCCACCAGGCCAAGAGTTTGGTCTTTTCCCATCACAGATAGTTAGATAAGTAACTGTGTATGGATAGATAAGTGATGAAATCAGATTATTTTTTTTAAAAGCCAGAAAGCTATTTTTAGATAAAAATCACATACTCATAATCCATACTCAGATTCACTAAGATTTTAATGGAAAAGGGGGAAAAAACAATTTTGATGAATTGTCTAGTGATCATGAATGAAGTTCAACTTAACACTGGATTAGCACACACAGGATTCCTCAGCCTGCATTTGTCCATACTCACCTATCCCTGCAAGCAGTTCTCTGCACATGGCCGCTGAGAACTTAGCTCCATTTGGTTCTCTCCTGTCCCACCAGCAAGATGATGACTACTTTGCCACCTTGAGGGAACTGGAGGCCACCCTTCGGACCCAGAGCCTCTCCCTGGAGGTGATTCCTGAGGGCAAGATCATGAACAACACATATTACCAAGAATGCCTCTTCTACCTGCATAACTACAGCACCCACCTGGCCATCATCAGCTTCTACATGAGGCACAGCTGCCTGCGGGAAGCCCTGCTGCACCTCCTCAACAAGGTGAGCCCCACGCTTGTGGCACCTGGTGCCGTCTAAGAGGGACCCTAACCCTGTGTGGGGCGCCGAGATCACCTCTGGCAGAGTCAGGTCACAATGGAAAGCTCCACCTACACAGTCGTTACCTCATGAGTGTGCTGTCAGCCGAATCTTAACCTTGATCCCAGATTCCCTTCCGGACTGCCAAGGGCAAATGTCATCTCTGCCTCCAGAACAGAGAGCAGAGTAGAGTACAGGTTGTGTAGCCCTTGTCTGGGCTGCTTGGAGCCAGGGGAGTAGGAGGTCACAGGTGTTTGCATAGACCTCCTCAGTGGCGCATTCCCAATCTAAACGTCCAGAATCTGCAGTGCTCCCAAACCCGAAGTCTTTCGGGCATGATGTGAGCAGTGGTCACAAACACGTGGTCTCTGGCATGACGTGTGCAATAGCCTCTGGCCAGGGACTGCGTCTGGGCTTGTTCCATCGTGGCCAGTAAGATCTCACATCTCAACCCCAAACATATGACAAAAGGAAAATATGCACTACATTTTTTCCCCTCTTACATCCTCTGCCCTCCCACCGGAGGCAGACATCACTAACACCATTTTCTTGCTTTGGAGCCATTGGTAAGCATCAGGGCTCCCATTTCACAGGGACACTTTTTTACCCAAAGGTTCTGTCACTGTCAAGGAATTGGCTAATGCGTGTAAGGTCTTGTAGAAAACTGAAAGGACTCAAGGTAAACCTTATCATTTGGATGCTCTAAATCAAAACAGCAACCAATGAACGTTTGTAAATTGATTGAAGTACCAGAGTACTTCAGAAAGAGTTGTAGGAAATAGAATTAAAGGAGTATTGTGCATGCACACGTGTACGCGCGCACACACGCACACACACACACACAAATTGAAATTTGTGTTCAAAGGGTCCCCAAAAAGTTATGGAAATGCATATTATAAAACAGCTGTGCCTAGATTTTCATTTATATCTTTACATCAAATGAATGTTTTTTTATTTTCCAAGAATTTACCATACCCTCCACCTTATACTACTGCCCCAAGTGAAATCAACAGTTCTCCGATTTGTGCTAACCGTCCCCCTATGGGTCGATAAGTGCTCAGCTACCATAACTTAGTGTCTAACCAGACAATCTACCCATGGAGAGGTCATGGTATTTGGAGTTCAATTGCTAATGTACTTCCTGTTCCTCCATTTCCCAGTGAGCATAAAGGTCAAGATGCTCCCTCAAGCACAAGCTGAAAGTAGAAATGGCCCAATCCTTTCTCTCCGGCCACTGCCCTACAAAGCTAAGCTGCTTAGTCGCTTATCTCTGTCACAGCTAACAAAGCATTTCCCCTGCTTTCCTTTGGCCAGAGCTAGGAAAGAAGCCTTCTTTTTTATCTCCCGTAATCACAGTTACCCTTGAATAGATATGTTCTCAAACAGGAACGAACAAGAACAAAAACATTGTGAAACCTCCAGCTGCTTGCCCAGGACAAGTGGAAGGTGCTCTGGGTCTAGGCTTTTCCCTGTGTGCTGTGCCCTTGGCCCACACCTTCTAAGACATCAGTAGACTCACCTTCTCCTTCTCCCTCAAAGACCTGCTGTGAATCCCCATGGCCAGACGCTGAAGTCCATATTCCTCAGCTCACTGCAGGGTGCTACGGGATCAGAGGCCCTTATTTCTCCACGCTGTCTGCACTGCAAATCCTTATCTGCCCCCTCAACTCCAGACTCTTCCAGTGACTTCACTGTTCTGATTGCACCATGCACTGTATTATCTATGAGTGTATCCAGATTTCCCATAATTGTTTTATCAGAAGATCTTCCTCTCTATCTTCCTCTCTGTATATTTGACTTTCCAATAAAAAAATAAATCTTTAAAAGCAAATTGGCACCCATATGGGATATTGCAGGCAGCTACTTTATCTACTATGCCACGGTGCCATCCCCGAAAGTTAAGTTTTGTTTTTTGTTTTTTGTTTTGTTTTGTTTTTTGAAATCCATGTGTTTTTTTTTTTTATGGTATGCGTTTTTCCTGAACTTTTTAGAACTCCTCGTATGCATGGGTTTTTTTTTTTCACTCAAGTAAGTTTATCTTTTAATTCTATATTCCATGAACCTTTTGAAGTATACTCATATCTGACTTCATCAAACTCTCATTCTGGTAGGGTGGAAGACAGTAAACAAGGTAAACAGAATATACTGTAGATGGTGAGTCATAAGAAAATAAAGGAGACAAGGATGGGTTGTGAAATTGTCGATGGGATACCAGGGAAGACAGCAGCAGAGTGAACAGTCATGCAGGTGCAAAGGGGATCATTGGCCAGAAAGGAGTGGCCAAGGGCAAAAGCTGAGCAGGGAGGACTAGGCGTGGGGAGGTAGCACACAAGGTCGGAAAGGTGACAGGTCAAACGACACAGGGCCTTGAGCCCAGTGAGAGGACCTGGCCCTGGCCCTGAATGTAACAACCACGAAAGACTGTGCCCAGGAGGAACACCGACGCAGAGCTTAGCAGAACCACTCGGGTTGATTGGCTGGTGTTAGAAAAAAAGCAGTAGAAGACGATGGACCAGGGAGAAAGCTGTTCGGATAGTCCTGCCAAGTGGTGATGTTCATGTGAGCTAGTATGAGATGGGGGAGGAGGTGAGAACAAGGGCAGGTGGACTTTCATGGGGCAACCAAATAGGCTTTGCAGATGATTTAATGCTGGAGTGGGAGGGGAAAGAAGAGTCTAAGGTTTCTAACCTAAACACCTAGAAGAATCAAGTTCCAATCTGAGAAGGGGAAGGACCATGGAAAAAAAGCAGATTTCCAAGAAATACCAGGAATGTAGTTGCTGATGGAATGAGTAAGAAAGCATAGATAACCATGAAGGAGTAGGAAGAGAAGGGAAGCTATCACCACAAGGGGTTCTTTATAACCTGTGCTGCCCACAAGGTTATCAAGCACGGCCGTGAGGGGTGCTGCAGGTGTGTAAGTGGAAGGAAACTCAGCATCCCAGCCAGTGCCAGAGCCAGGCTCAAGACTTCCACCTTCTCGCCTCGCCCTGCTCCAGGAGAGTCCTCCGGACGTCTTCATCGAAGGCATCTTCCAGCCAAGCTACAAAAGCGGGAAGCTGCACACCTTGGAAAACTTGCTAGAGTCCATTGACCCAACGCTGGAGAGCTGGGGAAAGTACTTGATTGCTGCCTGCCAGCACCTGCAGAAGAAGAACTACTATCACATCCTGTATGAGCTGCAACAGTTTATGAAGGTAACAGCAGCCCCTGTCCTCTGGCACAGATGCCTTGCCATGCACGGGAACCCGTGCCATGCAGGATAAGGGTGAGATTTGTCATTTGGTCCTTGGCCTGACAATCCCCAGAGCACATTTACCTTGTTGTCTTGCATGAACTAGAATTCATATTTTCACCATAAATGTCAAGGCAAACTGTCATCTTGTCACTGGCCCCACTCCTCCTTTCAACATCCTGGTATTGCAAACTGCAGGAGGCAGTGGTGATGGTTCAGGTACTTACTTGGTTCTCTGCCACCCACACGGGAGACCCAGACGTGAGTTCCCAGCTTGTGGCTCCAGCGTGGATCAGCCCAGCTGTTACAGGCATTTGGGAAAGGAACCAGTAGATGAGGGTTTTTTCTGCCTGTGTCTGTCTCCCTACCTTCTAAATATTTTTTAAATATTTTTTAAGTGTGCTTTTCTCAGATCTCTTTAGTGATGGAATAGCATACTATTCAAAAGTCAAGCCAGTTGATTCGGGTTAGGACCGTCTGGACCTTGAATTGACTCACGTCAAGTAGTCCAGCTGGGAACAGGACTGGGTACTGGCAACCTGACCTTCTGGGTGGCAGTCAGATCAGAATGTCCATCACAGCCTGCCTTCTGGTGTGTCTTGTCTCCTCTGACCTGAATATTCACCTTCCTATCTAGGACCAAGTCCGGGCCGCCATGACCTGCATCCGGTTCTTCAGTCACAAAGCAAAGTCATACACAGAACTGGGAGAGAAGCTATCGTGGCTGCTTAAGGCCAAGGACCACCTGAAGATCTACCTCCAAGAAACATCCCGTGGCTCTGGAAGGAAGAAAACCACCCTCTTCCGGAAGAAGATGACGGCAGCCGAAGTGTCGAGGTAGTTCCAGGCTCCAGGGGCACGCAGTGTCCCAGGAAGGTGCCTCTGGTTCCCTGAAATAGTAAACAAGCAGCAGGAGTCATCACTGGGACACTCAGTCTGTTGCAGCTCTTCAGCCTGCAGGGGAGCCTGCAGGGGAGGAGCAGGGTGGAGAAAACACTGGGACCACAATGGGACCATAATTGGAGCAAACTCCAAATTCCTGCCACTTGGCCACAATGGTCCTGGGTCGTCCGGCCCCAGCTTTGTCTCCTGCTGCTACTCTTCTTCCCTGCCAAGCTCAGTCACTGGCTTTCCGAGAGCTTCACAGCACAGCATTAAAGACACCCCCACCACTCTTGTCCCTTGAGGTTGAATGACTACACAGTCCTCTCCCCTTCACAGCCCTCTTACCCTCTGTACAGTCCTTGGCGCATGAATGCTTCGTAGATAACAGTGGATCTAGTGGCTGGGGAGCGTCCTGTCCCCCCAGTACACTTTAGCTGTTGTCTGTGTGAGGCCCCAGGACTCCTGTGTTGCTTTTGTCATAACTGCCCTAAGGTAGTCCAGGTCCCTTTTCCATCACCATCTTCTGATGAGTGCTCAGTTGTCCAGCCTTCCTCGGCCCGTCCCTGCAGCCCCTCCTGAGGCTGGAGCCTGTACCTTCTGTCCACCCAGGCACATGAATACGCTCCAGCTGCAGATGGAAGTGACCCGGTTCTTACATCGATGCGAAAGTGCAGGGACCTCTGAAATCACCACCTTGCCTCTGCCAACCCTGTTTGGAAATAACCACATGAAAATGGATGTCGCCTGCAAGGTATGTACAGTAGTTCAGGTTCTCACTTGGAACACTGACCTGCGTTGTAAGGTCTAGGAATTACTGCAGTCGGGTTGTGTTTGCTTCTTGCAAATCTCATCTGTTTTTGTTTTGTCTGAAAGACACAGACAGGGGCCCAGCATGGTAGCGTAGTGGCTAAAGTCCTCACCTTGCACACACCGGGATCCCATATGGGCACCAATTGGTGTCCCGGTGATCCCACTTCCCATCCAGCTCCCTGCCTGTGGCCTGGAAAAGCAGTCAAGAATGACCCAGAGCCTTGGGACCCTGTAGACCCACGTGGGAGACCCAGAAGAGGCTCTGGGCTCCTAGCTTCTAATTGGCTCAGTTCTGGCCATTGCAGCCACTTGGGGAGTGAAACAGTGGACAGGAGATCTTTCTCTCTGTCTCTCCTCCTCTCTGTATATCTAACTTTCCAATAAAAATAAGTGAATCTTAAAAAAAAAAAAAAAAGACACAGAGATCTTCCATCTGTTGATTTACTCCTAAAATGTCTGCAGTAGCTAGAGTTGGATCAAACTAAGCCAGGATCCTGGAACTCAATCTGGATCTTCCACGTGGATGTTGGGAAACCAAGTACTTGAGCCATCACTGCTGCTGCTCCCCCATGCACACAGCAGGGTGCACATCAGCAGAGAGCTGGACTGGGATTCGAACCCAGACACACCAATGTGAGATGCAGGCATTCCAAGCAGTACCTCAACTACCTGCCAAATGCTCACCCCTGTCCCAGTTGTTTGATGGCTTCTACCCCTCTAGAATGTGAGCCACAGAGAGCTAGGGAGCAAAATTTTTTTTTTGTTTTTTAGTTTTATGACTCATTTTTTAACACATTTTATCATTCAGAGTGTTCTGTCATGTACATAGGGCTTTCGATTTAATATAGAAGCATCTTCCTGTTCCACTCATGCACCGATCCTGGTTTTACATTTATTGTCTCTGTCATTAAAAGGGCCAAGTATTGCATGTTTGCCACAAATTTGAATAAGTATATAAAGCCCATTTGACAGCTCTTGTATCCCTAGCGTCTGGCACTGAGTAGGGTCTTGATCAATATTGGTTGCGTAGTCGAATACCTGGGTGTGCTTGTCCTTGCTGGAGGACTTGCTACAGTCATTATTGCATCCCTAAACATGCTTCCCTCTCTTTTTCAGGTCATGCTTGGGGGGAAAAATGTGGAAGATGGGTTTGGAATTGCATTCCGTGTTCTACAGGTATGACTGGGATTATCCAAGCTTATGCCTAACCGTTGGTCTGGGAGAGATTATTCCTCCAAAAATCTTGAGCCCCAAAAAAGCAGATTTACACATGCTTTAAGGATGAAGTCAAGAAGGTGGCCATTACAGAACTGGGTCAGATGCGTGACTCTGGCCCGCCAAGCCAAGAGCCAAATTACCAGTGACAAACTAATCAGAAACTGTCACCTAGACCCCGAAGCTAGGCACAGAACAGTTCCTGACCCCAGGACTTCCCCTGCCCATCCTCTGGCTGCACAGGGGCTGGCCCTAGGGTCCATTGTCTGTTCTTGTGATAAAAGGATCAAGTGTGGCTGTGGCCTACTGAAACCCCAATGGTTGGTTTCAGTGGGCCTCCCGTCACTACTCAAACCACACAGACACCCAGAAGCTGAGCACCCAGGGGTGCTGTGTCCAGGGTGCATGGCTTCCTGGATTTTGTAGCTGTTTCCTTGTTTACCATAGCTGCTATTTGCTACCGTCATCCTAAAGCCATTTTCCCACGTTGCATCCCAGGACTTCCAGCTAGATGCTGCTGCCACCTACTGCAGGGCTGCCCGGCAGTTGGTGGAAAAGGAGAAGTACAGTGAGATCCGACAGCTGCTCAAGTGTGTCAGTGAGTCGGGCATGGCAGCAAAAAGTGACGGAGACACCATCCTCCTCAACTGCCTGGAAGCGTTCAGAAGAATTCCCCCCCAGGTGCGCTCTGCCCCTGCCCCTTGTGTCCTCCCTCTGTGTGTCCTCTCATCCCACCTCTTCATTTTACTGTCCCTGTGCTATGTGTGAAACGCTGCAAGATGCCTGTGTCTTTCTGACCCCTCTGTAATAAAGGTCTCGCTCTGATCCACCTTCGCTCATAAACTAAGTTCATGGTGATGACCCCTTCACCCAGAAGTTGTCCCTCAACGTTCCCTGGTGGTACATGACATGCACCCAGAACTGTCCCAGCTGATGGGGTTGAACTTGTTCCTGAGTTCCCAGAGGAGGACAGGGTGGGCCAGTGGCTGACCTTGGAAGGCCATTGCCTGCAAAACTGTGCCCTTGTGACTGCTCTGTGGGGTGAGCGGCACCACACCCATGGATGAAGGATTGCTGTTGCACAGGTCTCTTGGGGCTGTTTCCGCTGCACAAAATCCCCAGGCTGACCGTCATCACTAGCTTTCCCTCTGCTGCTCTTCCAGCAGGACTTAAATCTACAACAAAGGAGACTAGCATTGGGGCACAGCAGACTAAGCAGCCACTTGGAATGCCAGCATCCCTTGTTGGACTGCTGGTTCAAGTCCAACTCCTCTGCTTCTGATCCAAACCCCTACGAATGAGGCTGGGAAAGCAGCAGAAGGTTGTCCACATCACTGTGGCCCCTGCCACCCCTGTGGGAGACCAGGATGGAGTTGCTGGCTCCTGGCTTCCACCTGGCCCACACCTGGCTATTGCAGCCAGTTGTGGGTGGGGTGATGGGGAGCTGCCGGGTGACCCAGCAGATGAACAATCTCTGAGTCTGTCAACCCCCATTCCAACTCCCCATTGCTCTACCTTTTGAATAATAAAAATAAAGAAAATAACAAGTAATTTAAAAAAAAAAAAAGAAGAAAGAACAAAACCTACAAGAGAGGAGTCATCCAGGCTTTGCCACCCTAGACTCAATGTACCTGGGATGGAACTGGACGGACCCCTTCTCCCTCTCATGACGGCTGTGTTTCTGTTCGGCACAGGAGCTGGAGAGCCTGATCCAGGCGATACACAACGATGACAACAAGGTAAGCCATGACTCCAACCCTGGCTATGCCCTTTGACCCCTGGTCCTCAGAACAGTTCTGTCCAACTTTGGAGCTCAGCATCTTTGCTATTCAGGGGTGGAGCTGTGGCTTAGAGGGAAGGATATAAAGGGAAGGAACATATGGGGACCAGATAAATGATAACCAACCTATTGCTTATGCCCAAGACAAACACATCTCAGGCTGCTCCCAAGCCTCCAACTTCCACAGTGGTCTTTTCCCAGACAGCATTCTCTCATTTCCTTCCTTAAGCTGATGGAATGAATGGGGTTGCCAGACTAGGCAGACATTGCTGTTCTCTTGGAGGGGAAAGGATACAGTGAAGAGTGTCCCAGGCAATCCTTTGGTTGACAGCATCTACTGGAGTCTCATTGTCTAGAATGGGCCTCTCCCCTAGGGCCCATGAACTGCCCCCCAATCCCGTGTCATGGGAACTGGCACACCTCTGCGCCCACCGCCTTTGTGAGGAATGCCAGCCACAATCTAAGGACTCCCAGGTACCCCCATGTGTGGCTAACCACTGGGTCAGTGCCTTCCTTTCTGCAGGAAAATCACCAGGCCCAGAGATGCTGGGCCAGGCTGGCTGTCAGAGAGCAGTGAGCTATCAGCTGTATCCCTCATAAAGAAGACGCCAGGCAAACAGCCCCTTATCCAGCACTGGCTCTTTCCCATCCACAGTGTTGCTGATCCCAGTACCAAATGGGATCTCCAGCAAGGGATTAAGCAGCTCAAGTCATGAATTCCTCCTGGGGAAGGTGGGTAATTACTTTTCTAGAACCAGAGTAAGAGCCTGACAGCATGACAGCTACCCAGCCCTCCTGATGCCCAGATGATGGGGTTCCTTTCCCAGTTGGCTCTGCGCTTCCCCTCCATGGGGCTTGAGCCCTAGGAAAGCGCACACTCAGATCTGGGTCATCACCATCGTTTTTTCAGATGTCTTCCCTCGGCAGCCCTGTCTTGCCAGAAGTCAGCCACTTTCTCTCCCAGCCTCTCCAGCAAATTGCTCTGCTCCTCTAGGCAGGAATTCTGCTGCCAGTTTGGGAAATCTATGTAGCATCCAGGGCACCCGGTAAAGCTGGCAGCCCCTGTGAGAACTCCTCTCAAGTAGGTGCCCAGACTACAGGATCCTGGTCACTTCACCGAGCGCAGGACATGCTGGACACCCATGTGGATCAGAGTTCAGGAAAGGAAGACTTTGGGGACCGAGACTTGAAACAAAGATGGAACATTTCTACGCTAAGCCCATACAGTCCCCTGTTTCTGACACAGAGGGACATGTGTGGGGAAAAAAGCATGTTGCCAGAGGGCGTCTGTGCAGCCCATGAGGGTCTCGCTGCTTACCAGCCCAGATCACAGCTTGTCAGGGTCATGGTGATCACAGCAGGCCTCCACCATGCTCGGCATTCCTCAACTGGGGAGCGTAGGAGGCGCCCACGCCTCCAGCCCAGACAGAAGAGGTCAAGCAGTCGCTGGTTCGTGTGTGTGTTTTCCTCCCCAGGTTTCCTGTTAAAAGGAACTTTTTTTTAAGTTCAACAGGTTGAATACTGAAAAATAGAGAAGTTCTATATGTCTGTTGTAAGTGGGGAGATATGATTGTTCACGGATTCATTCTTTCACTCATGCATTTCTTGAGCATCTACTCTGTGTCAACCTCTCTGCTGGGCACCAGTGATACACGAGGGTAGAAAAAGCAGACACGATGCCTGCCCTCAGGAAACCTGGTTAAGGAGGCACATACCCGTCAAACACCCAAATAGCTATAAGATCGCAGCCTGCAAGGGATGACAGTGCTGGCTCTGAAGACAGGAGGATGCCGGGAGCCTGTGGTAGCAGGGAGAGCTGTGCGGGGGGAGAGACGTGAGACTCCGCCTGTCCATCTACCTGCATTCTTTTCAAAAGTCTTGGCTTATTTGTAGTAACTTAATGTCTAGCACATTTAAAGAGATGCTACAAAACAATACCAGGCAAGCATTCAGTTACTCAGTGGGTTGGGGAGCCAGCGAAGTCTGTCTTCTGGCACAGCCCTGCTTGTTTGCTGGCGATTCAATTCCGTGATGATGATCAGTGATCCACTGTCTTGTATTCCGTTGCCAGGTTCGGGCCTACCTGACATGTTGCAAACTGCGTTCTGCATACTTGATTGCTGTGAAGCAAGAGCACTCCCGGGCCACAACCCTCGTCCAGCAGGTGCAGCAGGCTGCCAAGAGCAGCGGCGACACAGTGGTACAGGATATCTGTGCCCAGTGGCTTCTGACAAGCCACGCCCGAGGTGCCCATAGCTCGGGCTCCAGGAAGTGACCCTGAGCCAGCGGGATCAGGGGAAACGTAGCCTGAGAATGGGGGTGACACCTTCCACCACTGTCCTCTCCTGGACTGGGACTTCTCCGGCTCTGCCTGGGAGGGGAAAGCACTGGATCGGGCCCTGCTCACCTTCTCCGGCAAGGTCGGGACCTTTCACACAAGTGCCATGTTCCCATAGAATTGTGGACTCTGTCTGGAGATGGCCGCTTCCTTCTACCTCAGAGTGAGTGAGTGTGTGCACACCCTCGCACACGTGTGCGCATGCGCCAGTGCATTTGTGTTTACGCCCCAGCATCTCTGAACAAATGAAACCCTCCCCCACTGAAGAGACACACTTTGCTTTAGGCTGCAACCAATCTGGTCTCCCGACCCCCACCCCTGCGTTTTGGTTCTTAACCCGGGTTGTCCTGTTTGTACAGAATCCCTTCCACGTGGAAACACTTGGGTAGCTCCTCTTAGGCAGAAGGGCTTCGCTGAGCATCCTAGAACACACCACGGATAGCCTCTTGTCCCTTCTTGTACTTCCCCAGATTCAGACATGGCACTGGGGCATATGCTACCTGCAGAGTGAAACCATTTGCTAGGCATCTCCTCTCACAAGCACATGGAATTAAGCTAAGTGTTCTGGAAGGTTAGCTGCCCAGGGGAGCATTCAGAGGCTGGCAGCTGAAGGCGGTAGGAGCTGCGTGTGCGCTGCAGTCAGAGCTGGAAGGCTGGCCTGTGGGCTAGACAAGCCCCGTTGAGGCTCCTCCAGAGGGGAGCAGAGCATAACGCCAACCTCTCATCAGGTGTGTGGTTGTGGGCACTCACAGCACAGAGCTGGCCCTCAGAAGTAACCTGTTGTAGTGCTGGTAGGAGAGAAAATGTGAACTCCCTCTGGGAGGGGGTAGAAATTGAAATGGTAGTCGGATCGCAGGACTGAAAGGCTGACTTTTGTCTGCTAGACGTCCCTCCTGATGGGGTCCCTTGAGCTCCTTAGCGAGCTGTTTACTCCTGGTCTCGCCCATTTGCCTTGGATCTCTTTGGAACAACCAACATGCAAGCAATGAGATAGCAGAGCCACTTCTTGGCTATATCTGAACAGAAGGAGTCAGAGAAAGGAAAATGAGTAGGTCACACCAGGTGGGGCGAGGGTGCTGTACTGGCTCGTCTCCTCCCTTCCTCCCCAACCAACCCTCTCCCCCAAGATGGGACAGTGTTTGAGGAAGGCTGTGCCCTGCTCCATGTCATAGATTTGCAAACAAAAGGCCTCAAGGCGAGCCAAGTGGAGCCAGAGCTCAGCTTCTGCATCTCACCTCCACTGCTAAAGACAAATAGGCACAAGAAGCTAACCTCTATTCCTGGTGCTTGGAAACCCTCTGGATTCCCCTATGAACCAAGAGTCCTTGGAATCAAATAAGCAACTAGTATTGACAGCTGTCAGAGTCCTATTTTGGTCCTATTAGAGAGGAGGCAGGCTGTAAGGAAAATTCTAGATTCTTTTGGGGTGGAGTTTCCCAAGCTACTTTTCCTTCCTTGAGTCACAGAATGTGTCCCACGCCCCCAGCGGCAGCCAGCCCTTCTCGGTCTACTTTTTTTTTTGCACTGAAAAAGCACTTTATATGAATGAGTCGCAACTCTTGAAACCCTACATTTGGGATGTCAAGACCCAAATTTTCCTGACTTTCCTCTGTTTGAGCTATGAAATAGGCAGCCGTTGACCAGACTGACATAAGATGAGACGAAAGACCTTTGAACATTACACTGTGGTCTCCAGCAAACAACAGCGGCACCAAACCCAATGCACATGTTGAGGCATTAAATGTTTTACAAACAGGTCACAATAAAGCGTCGGTCCAACAAGTGTCTTGGCTCCCTGGCTTCTCTGCGCTGCTCTGTCCTCACACCTTACCTGCCCTTTCCTCTCATACCCTCTGGAAGGAGAAAAGAGGTTGGGAGTGGGAGCTCCGGTGTTTGACCCAGTGAGTAAGATGCTGCTTGGGATGCCAGCCTCTTGTATCAGATGACCTGGCTGTAAGCCCCAGCTTCACCTCCCACTGTCAGCTTCCTGCCAATGTATGCCTAGGAGGTAACAGGTGAGGCGCCAACAGTTTGATCCTTACCACCCACATAAGGGACAGATTGAGTTGCTAACTTCTGCCGGGCCCAGCCTCAGCTTTGATGGATATTTGCACAGTGACCCAATGGTGTATGTGGGTGCCTTCCAAATTACGAAAGGTGAGTGAGAAAGAACACATGGCCTTCAACTCTCAAACTTGCTCCAGATGATTCCCCATCATCACTAGTAATTCTTTGGCGTAGGATTTATGTCAAGCCTCACATGTTTTAAAAATTACTAATGTACCCTGTATCAGAAACCTGCTTTTCTTTTTTTAATTTTTATTTTTGATTTTTACATACTTGATTAGGGTACAAAGGGTCAAGGGCTACAGGAATGTGGGTGAGACCACCGTTTACATACATTCTCTGTTTTTTTCCTTTCTGCATCTATGGGAGACAAAAGGAGAAGCCACACCTAGCCTCTCCACCACCTCCATATCCTGAGATGGAGAACAGCTACCCGATGCCATTCCAGGGTCCCTGGTGTGGGACAAACTCCAAGGATCCTGCTCAAGAGGGTTTGATAGTCCCACAGTTCTGAATTACTGCCAATCTTGCCACTCCAAGCTCGATGAAACCTTTCCAGAATCCATTGGTTCACATAGTTCACACCTTAGAGACTCCATTTGCCCTGATACTCTCTGCCAACACTTGGCTGGGGTAGTCGATGAATTTGTTCTGTCTTCCATCCTCTGTTATGGTAGCAGGTGTCCTCTGCAGGTTCAATGTACTGCCATATCCTCCATGTGTTTCTGGATATGCTGGCCACTGCTCTGTCTAAGCCACTGAGGAGGCCCAGCTCTGACACATGCACTCCACAGTCAGACCATGGAACCTACAATTTTCTCCAAGTTTGGGGTTCTCAACCCAGCAGTTCAGTTGGGGAGATTCTGAAAGAAACTTCATCTGAGGTGATCCCAGACCTGATTCTTGTGTGTGCATGCCAATACAGGGTCCAGTATAGTCTGTTGTCCAAATCAGCCTACACGCACACTGGTAGTTGCAATGCTGGGTCAGTTGTCTCCAGCCCTGTCTTCTATGCAAACTAATGGGTGTTGCAGTCCATCCCGATCCTGCCCACTACACACTTGGCCCTCATGCAAACCAGTGGGAATTGTAGCCTAGTTGGAAGGACCCACAATAACCCCTACCAGGCCCACCCTCATCCTAATTCCTGGGCTTGCCAAGATGTACTGCAAACTGGTCCTGTCTGTCCCACATCCCAACCAGCCTGGTTTATTGTGGCTCGTGGTTTCAAAGATTCAGTCCAAGATCAGGTGAACACCATTGATCCAGCTATCTGATAGAGCCAGAGGATTGCAGTGGCAAATGATCAATTGAGTGAGCTTGGAAGCAGTGTAGCTAGGTCCAAACTGGCTTTTATAAAAAAGCCTTCTTATGAAAACCTGAGTGCACACCTTCAGTGACTGAATGACCCCTCACTTAGCCCACTGTCCAAGCACTATGCTTGGATTAGTTTTTGTTCCTTTTAATTGCATAATGTTAAAATGTTAAACTCTACGTACATTCAAGAGTCCTATTCAAAACAACACCCTACAAAGACATGGTAACAACGAACTCTCCCACCAGTAGTGTAGGGAATGCTTTAATTCCCAGTCTTGCTTCAATAGTTACCAAACTACTAACTTTCCAAATAAATACCAAGCTAGATATTTTCCCGTCTAATGGGAGAAAAATGGAACTCTACAATTCTTTTAAAAGCTAATTATCCAGTTTTTAGGTGCTGTTGTCTATTTAAAGCAAACCAAAATCATAAATCTTGTAAAGCAACTGTGCATTCCTTGGGGAAAGCAGAAGTCAAACTCAGTTATCTTCTGTTTTCAGTATGACGCTTGAGCTGTGTACAGTGATATCGCTGTCGTTATCTCTTCCCCCAGGAACATATCCAATTTCTCATTTGAGAGCAAAGCAACATTATGAACAAACATAACCAAGGAGCAATAATGGTGTAGGTGGACCTGAAAACCACCTGATATAAACAGGGAACAAAGATGTATTGTAACAGAAAACTGGAACACTCATTCTAAATCTAACATAGCTAACTGCTGACTGTACTCAGAAACATGAGATACCGTAAGGTCACCAGATCTCTTTGAAGTGTAAACAAAGTAGATTTAAGGCTATAGGATGCTCTCCAATACCCAAGCAAGCAAGCATCAATAGTCATGGTAATCCTGGGGAAAATGTGCCCTGGACCCCATCCATCGGAGGAAGCCCCTCCAGTAAGACAACTTCGCGACCTCATCCTGAAAGATCCATCTCCATCAAGGAGACAATGGAAGAGGAAGAGGCTAGACCCCTCCCAACACCGGGTGACATAAGGGATTTTAAGAGATTGGCATATCAAGCACAACTGTCCCTGACCTCATGATGTATTTGATAAAACAACTGAATGATTGATATTCTGGAATACTAATAATCCGTGGGAAAAGTTACGCTCTTGTCCCTAGAATTCCCTGATGGATCCTCAAAACTGTGGGTTTCCCTATGGCTCATCTGAGCTTGGAAGTACAGCAACTCCCTTGAATACAACACTGCACCCCCAGTGGAACTGCCTCTAAGAACTGAAAAACTGAATTTGTTTAATATTCCTCTTGTTTCACTACAGATCAGGAGTGCAGAGAAATTCTCCCCCTTCTTAGAATGTTTGAGGAAGACTTTAAGTGTAACTTATTATTTATGGATAACAAATTCTTAACAGCCTTAGGCATTAGAAAAACCATAAAAATTTGTGGTGGGATCCAAGAACAACCCTGACAACCTCTTAAAAGGAGGCTGTGTGTACAGAGCAGGAGAGGATCTCAGGGTGGAACAGGAGGATAAGAGGAGGTCTCTATCCTAGTCCCGGAGACTCCCGGAGGCCTTCCAAGTGCTTTCGCCACAGAAACGATGGATACTTCATCGAGGATTGTCAGTATGGACACTGAGAACCGTATCCCGAATGCCTAGGAGATCACAGGGAACGTGAATGCCCTCGGAGGCTGAGACCTCTGAGGTCACTCATTTCCTATTGGATTTCCCACACGGCATGGTAGCAGCCCAAAACCCTCTCAAAGGGTCTGGTGACATCGGAACTACAGCCAGGAGCCATGGGTGGCATTCAGAGATAAAAAGGATTGTAAATTTCCTTCTGGACTCAGGAGAGGAGCTTTCTCTGGTCCTTATCTAGTTCCAGCCTTGGCTCCCAGCCCTCTCTTATGCCGACCATCAGGGTTGCTTATGAGCCCCAAAATTAGTTCAGATAGACAGATACTAATAAAGATCAGCTAGTTGATAATCACTCAGCTTGTACCTTATTGATCAGGCTTCCCATTTGGCTTTTCAGATAGACACTGATATGGAAAGTCTGGGACAGCCAGGCAAAAGGCCAACTAGCCTATAATAGCTCAGCCTGTACTTACTGGTCAGGCTCCCTATTTGCTTCTCCTGGTCTTTACTAGGTAGGATGTAGAGATAAATTCTTCCTCACTCACTAGCTTTTTGGGGATTTCATTGCTCACCTGCCTAAAACTTTTCTATTCTTCAATTGTTAAAATGCAAAGTTCTGTAAAACCATGCTTAATCACTTATATACTGCAAAGTTTAAAATATGGCTTAAGATTCTCCCCCCCAAAAAAAACTTTAACAACTTATGACTGTTAATGCTAAGCAAGATGTAACTGCATAGGAACTTTGATGTTAAGGCCTTATGAAGCAGCACCACACTCCCCCTCCCATTCTCACAAGGGACAGTGACATGAGCAAGAGCTGCCCTTTTATTCTAGTATACCAATAACAGCACTGTTTGTCGTAGCAGTTCATCTTCTCCTGTACCAGAACAAGTAATTCCCCGTGTTCTTTCCAGGATCCTCTCAGCTGATTGTCTCGGCTAACAGATGCCATCTATTTGCAGAAAACACAGCTGTATGCTAGCTGTAAAATGTACAGGGATAGCTCTGAAGGTGTGGTAGGACTATCACGGTTTTCTGCACTAGGATGTTATCAGTGGATACTGAAAACAACAGAAGATAAAAGGCCTTGGGGGCGGAGGAAAATCAACACTGGGCAGATGAGGAAACTCAGACTGATGAAACCAGGTCAGGGAAGCACCTGCCTTAGACAGGTATTAATGGCAAAAAAAGAGGGGGGTTAAGGCAGGTGTATTGTGGTAATTTTATATGATTGTGTAATAAACAGGGCTCAACACAACACTACTGTATCCATCAGGGTATAGAAATAAACACTGAAGGATAATTTAGTACCTCATGCATTGAAATGTCTCAAGGGAGGGTAGCTCCAGTCTGGGTTACTTGAGCAACTCTGGCGTCATGAGTGAACTTGGTTTCTACCTCTTCTTCTTCACCATTCCCTCGACCTATGAGCTCAGTCCTTGGGCCAGCCCAGCTCCACATTTGTGGACTCAAGGTGATGAAGACAGAGTAAGGTGTCACATCTAACCTTGACAGCATCCAACAGAAGGCAAAAAATGTCTACCTGTGCATTATATTTTTAATTTTTTCATTTTATTTTTAATATTGCTTACTAGTTGAGAGGAATGCCTGCCCATATGGGCCTCTGGTTAGGGTTGAGAGGGTCAAGGTGTAGAGAAAGGTGGGTGAGATAAATGTTTCAGTTCTTTTTTTTCTTTTTTTTTTTTTCCCCTCCTGTGTCCATAGGTCATTCCTCCTGCGGGGGAATGGGTATCTGCTCCTTGCTGTCAAATTACTTCAGTGTCCGGGGAT